GAGGCAGCTCTGCTGGGACACTCTGAGGCCTGGCCCCAGGTGAGCTCCCCTAGGGGACTGCAGGAGTCGCTCAGGCCTGTCTGAAATCAGATATTAGGGATTATCAGTGGAGCAGCGTGAAGGCACCACCCACCTCAGGCTCCCGTGTCTGGCCAAACTGAGCGGGGTATGAGTGGAGGGGCCACCTGAGCCCCCCTGGGATGTAGCAGGTGGCAGGGGCCTGGTAAATGGGGTGGCCAGGGGAGAGTGAGCCAGGAGGAGGAACTAGGCTATGCTGGGGCTCAGCTTTCTCATCTGGTAAGTGGGGTAATAGGACTTCCGGGGGCCAGTGGGAGGAATGAGTCTGTGTCACGTGACCCGAGTACATAGTAAGTGCTCAGTAAACATTGCTGAGATTACTGGTTTGGGATTTAGATGCAGAACGTCAGGAAGTGAAACTTGACCTGGTCCCTACAGCCCCCGAGGTCAGGGCCCAGGTTTCAGCAGCACCCTCCCCCAGGAGTCTGGTTGTGGAAGGAAGCAGGTGCTAGGGAGGGGTGGACGTGATATGGGAGCAAGTCCTCTGCCCAGGAAGTCTGGAGGACTTGGCTCTGGGGTTCTCTCCAGCCCTTGTTTCTCTTTGGAAGGTGCCACTCTCTCTACGGGGCACTGTGTGCGCCCCGACTCCTGATGTCCGGGTGGATCCCCTTTCCCCCAGGGCCTGGACAGACCAAGGGGTGCGATTGGTGTGGGGTCTCTTGTCTGATCGGTCACCCCTTCACTCAGCCCCCTTGCTAAGGGCTTGCTTTGTGCCTGGCCCTCAGGCTGCAGCAAAGGTGGACGTCACCCTCTGTTGCTGTTGGTCACACTTGGCCCTAGTAGGGCTGGGAGAGCCAGTGACCCTGGGCTTGAGCCAGGGACCAGAGAAGTCAGGCAGGTAGAGTGGGCCCCTTTGTCCAACACCCCAGGTGGGGACATCTGTCAGGCTCATGTTTTCTCACGTCCCACTGAGGAGGCACTAGCGTCTCATTTGAGGAGCGTTTATCGTGTACACCATTGGCGTGCCTTTTACAGCCGGGGAAGCGGGTCCAGAAGTAGGAGGCAGCTTACCCTAGGTCTCAGCGAGGCGGAAGTGGAGCTGGGCCGGCCTCCTGGCCGCTGCCCTGGCACAGGCGCCGCCTCGGCTGCTCCGTGGGGTGGGGCTTGCGTCGGAGGGGGATGCGGGTGGGAGACGGCTCTCAGGATCCGCACGCCCACGTGTGGGTCCCAAGGTGGAGAGTGCTGAGGAGCAGGTTTACATGGTCGGAATGTTTCGGCTGCACGCCTCTCGCTTTGGGACCGTGGGATCGACTTTGAGGACTCCTGTCCCGTGATGATGGGCAGGCTCTGGTGATCAGGGAAGGGTGTTTGGCCCCCTCAGCCATGCTCTAGGGTCCCTGACCTCCTGGCCTCCCCCCAGGCGGGCTGCATGCTCTTCCCCCACATCTCCCCCTGCGAGGTGCGCGTGCTCATGCTCCTGTACTCGTCCAAGAAGAAGATCTTCATGGGCCTCATCCCCTACGACCAGAGCGGCTTCGTCAACGCCATCCGGCAGGTCATCACCACCCGCAAACAGGTGCGCCCCTGGCCCCGGGCACTGGGTGTGCCAGTGAGGCTTTGAAAGGCGGGAGGGACAACTGAGGGTGGTTCCCAGGAGGAAGCACACGTGTGCCGAATGGGGAGGGTGGTGTGAGGCTGGAAGGCCCTGGAGGGTGACCATGCTTCTTACCAATATGTCCCCTTCTCTCAAGTGTCCCAGTTTGTACAACACATTTTATAGCTGCCAGTTCTTACAGGCAGACCCTGTGGACTTTGTATCCCAGGCTGAGGGGTTGGTACTTGTCCCGGGGCACATGGGAGCCATGGGAGGTCTGCGAGCAGGCAAGAGGAAGGGCCAGCTCTGGGGAGCCTCTGGAGTTGTGAACAGGCTGGAGGCTGAGAAGCCAGGAAGAAGGCTGAGGCCAGTCCGTGGGGGTAGGCTGTGGGCAGGCTTGGGACCAATGGGCTGGGGCGAGGGAGGGTTGGGTGGGGCCTGAGGCACCAGCCCATACCACGCCCGCCCCATCTTTTCCTGCAGGCAGTGGGACCCGGTGGTGTTGCAGGCCCAGTGCAGATTGTCAACAACAAGTTCCTGGCATGGAGTGGAGTCATGGAGTGGCAGGAGGTGAGCCCTGGGATGGCCTGGGTCACTTCAGGACCAGTGCACCCTGAGTCAGGGCGCTTCCCACTCCTGGCGTCTCCCTTATTCTTCTCCCCAAAAGCCCAGGCCTGAGCCCAACAGTCGGTCCAAGAGATGGCTGCCGTCGCACGTCTACGTGAACCAAGGGGAGATCCTGTGAGTGCCGGGCCGGGGGTGGAGGAAGCATCTCGGCGATACCTGGCCTGACCCTTGCCCCTGGTGCCCACAGGAGGACCGAGCAGTGGCCGAGGAAGCTGTACCTGCAGCTCATTCCGCAGCAACTGCTGGTGAGTGAGGGGTCACGGAGGAGGGGTGCGAGGGGGCTCCCCAGAAGGGACCCCCGAGTCGGCAGCTGGAGGAGGAGGGCGCTGTAGGTGGAGAGACAACACGTGAAAGGCCGCCTGGCTTGGAGGGGTCACAAGCTCGCACTCGGTCTCCGTGCCAGCCGCCGTGAGGGGCGGCAGCACGGCTGTGGACTGTCGGCTCCTGGGCTTCCCGCAGACCACCCTGGTGCCACTGTTCCGGAACTCCCGCCTGGTGCAGTTCCACTTCACCAAGGACCTGGAGACGCTGAAGAGCCTGTGCCGGATCATGGACAACGGCTTTGTGAGTGGGGCCGGGGCGGTGCCGCCAACCAGACAGGAGCAGAGTGGAGGGCGAGGCCCGGCAGGATGCAGACAGATCCACTAGGTGTTGAAGGGAAAATAGATGAACCAGAGGGGTGCTGTCCGCAGAACCGGCTGGGGAGCGATGGTGGCCCACAGGGATGTCACGTTTGCCCTGTGCCTGCACACGCCCTGGCTTCCAGTTCACACCACTCCCCCGGGTTCTGTGCTCTCCTGACCCCATTGTACAGATGGGGAAACTGAGGCTCAAAGGCAGTGCCAACAAGGGGACTCAGGCCTGAAGGCCTTTACTGACCCATCCTCTGCTGCCGCACGTACTCGGTGGGGCTGGGCCTCTCTGTCAGATGGCTCTTCTGAAACCACGGCTGTCGATGGTTTCCTCGATGTCTGTCATGTGGGGTAACCTCTGTCTCCACAGTTCCTTACTACTGCTTTTAAGTCAGCTGAAGTAGTCACAGCCATGCAGTTGTGTATTTGAGGCCGGTTGCATATTTCCTTTGTGATAAAGAGTCTGAAAGCACAGAGCTCCCCTGGGGCCCTGTTGTACCCCAGGTCACATCCATGTCAGATTACCAACTGTTGGCCCGGGGTTCCCGCAAGGGCTTCCTTCCTCTCGGAGATCTGTCACCACTGTCCCAGAGGTGGTGACACAGGGCCAGCGCCGCCCCTCCGGGCTCTGGGGGCCTGTGAGTCTTCAAGCTCTCAGCCTTGGTTGGCTGACCTATGACCTGGGGGTGGGGAACACGTGGTCCCCTGTGCCCGTGTCACATCAGGGTCCTTACTGCATTAGGCTTCGTCCCTGACTGGTACGGGGCGCAGGCAGCGCTCTGGGCTCCGCAGCCGCCCTCCGTCCTGGCCGCTCAGCCTGGTGGCCTCGGGGTTACTGCGGTGAGAGGGCCTTAGTGCGGTGTCTTTCTCGGTGAGCCTCTGCACACTGCGTTCGGGCCCCGCGTAGGTGACTATCCTGACAGCAGGTGGCACAGGGTCCTGGGCTCTTCCGTGCAGAACCTGCTGGGCCTTGGACAGCCATCTCTGGGTTGCTGTCTGCATGGCCCCAAATGGGAGTAGTAGCAGGGCCGTGAAGATAGCGGTTAGGACGCACCTGGCTCACACCTGAGGCCTGAGGGGTGCTGGCCTGGGGTGTGAGTCCTGCGCAGTGGGGACGAGCGCCCGTGCTCGGGGCTGCCCGTGATGCCACGCCCTGCACCCGCCAGGCCGGCTGCGTGCACTTTTCCTACAAGGCCTCGTGTGAGATCCGCGTGCTCATGCTCCTGTACTCCTCGGAGAAGAAGATCTTCATTGGCCTCATCCCCCACGACCAGAGCAACTTTGTCAACGGCATCCGGCGTGTCATTGCCAACCAGCAGCAGGTCCTGCAGCGGAACCTGGAGCAGGAGCAGCAGCAGCGAGGGGTGAGGCGGGAGCAGGGCCCCAGAACCCTTCTCATCTCTGGCCCTTCCCCCACCCTCCCTCCCTGCTACTGACTCTCCTCCCTGGCTTCTTCCCCCACAGATGGGGGGGTAGTGGCCATCCTGGCCTGGGCCCCTCCAGGAGTCACAGACGAGGCCCCCGTTGAGACTGGTGAGTGGCATCCAGGTGGAGTGGGGCTGGACTTGGGCATGCTGGGGGTTTGGGAAGCAATGTGACCCTGGCTTGGGCAGGACTGAGTGGCAGCCCCCTCTCTCCAGGTGATGGGAAAGGGGTCTCTTGGTTGGGAGAGGCCCTTTCCTAGTCCCCAGAGCCCTGCAGTTAGCTCATGGGTCTGGGCAGCTAAGTAGGGGGCCCAGGGGCTCCTGGGAGCCCCTGTCCAGGCCCTCCCTCTGTCCCCTGCCCCAGGTCAGATGCTTCTGAGCAGGGGCCCCTGGAGACGAGAACTGCCCAGGGAGATGGAGGACAGCGTCCTGAGATGTCTCCGAGGACAGTTCCCACCCATGTATGTTTCCCCAATAAAGTCTTTTAAAAGCCCACAGCTGTCCTAGAGTGCCTGCGGCCGCGGCCTGGAGACCCTGGCCCCGCCCTTTGCAGGGGAGGCGGGTGGGGCTGGGGCTGAGTGCTTGGCTGGGGTGAAGCCCCAGCAGTGCCCGGAGCCCGGGCGTCCCGGCTCAGTCTGCCTGCTGCTGGATGGCCCACCCTTTTTCCCAGTAAAATGCTGGTCAAGCTTAAAGAAAAATAGCGTTTATTGGGGGTGGGGGTGGGCACTGGCTCAGCCCTCGGAGAACTGGCGGTACAGGCGCTCCAGCCCGGGCTCCAGGTGCAGCCGGAATGGGATCTCCAGGATCGCAGCGAAGCCTTCGGCCAGCGTCGGGGCCTTGAACTGCTTCCTGTGGCAGAGGGTGGCGAGGGGAGGTGAGGCCCGGCTGAGCCCCGTGCCCACCCTGGCAGAGCCTATCCGGCAGTGCCTACCTGTAGCTGAACATGACCATGTCGGACACAGGGGCGTGAGAGGAATCTGTCATCTCCCGGAACTGTGGGGGCAGAGGTCAGGCTGGTCAGGCTGGGGGAGGGAGGGGACGAAGGGGTGGGGCAAGGCACTCACCCTGTTGTTGTGGCGGGCCTGCTCCAGGGTGGCGCCGAAGAGGAAACAGCGGCAGGGGACGCCTGCATCTTGGGCGCACTTGATGTACCTGTGGGGGCCGGCGGGGGGGGGGGGGCAGGCTGGTAAGGGGCCCTGGGATCACCCTACAGCAGCCTCCCATGGGACCCTGGTACCTGGCCCTGCTCGGGGGATCCGGGTTTGTGTTGTCGATCACGACCCGCTGCCTTTGCTTGAGAGCCGTCTCACATGTGGCCACACAGCGCTGCCAGGACCCCAGAGTGTCCTGGGACAGAAGGAGCAGGTCAGGTTGACAGACTGGGGTGGGGGAGGGATGGGATGGGATGGGATGTTGGAAGGACAGGGATGCACTGGGGTGGTGGCCAGGGGGAGAGACCCTGCAGGAGAGAGCAAAGAGCTGCAAGGGAAGCAGGTCTCTCGGGGAGACTGCAGTGATGGGGCAGGGGGCGAAGAGACGGAACAGTGATGCGGACAGACGGTGCAGGCAGAGTCCTACCCTGTTCACGTGGACGTATCCAGCGGACACCAGATGCTTCTGGAGGAAGGTGGACTTCCCAGCTGGGGGTTGGGGTGGGCAGTGTCAGTGGGAGCCGCAGGGGGGCCAGAGCTCCTAGGGGTCAGGGGTCAGGGCATCTCACCCCCAGGAAATCCCACGGCGACAACCACCTCAGGGTCGGAGCTCAAGAGGGAGCTGGACTCAGGCAGGCAGAGCGGCCCTGCAGGGGACACTGTCCTCTGGGAGGGCAGAGGTGAAGAGTGAGACCCCTCCCGACCACGCCGCCCTCACTCCCACTCCCGCGGGCCTCACCGGGTCAAAGGCTGGGAGTTCAAAGCTGGCCACCGGCCACTTCAGGAAGAACTCCTCTGGTGTGGCAAAGGGCAGGCCCAGGTTGAGAGCAAACTGAGGATGACAGTGGAGGTCAGGCTGAGTGGGAAGTGGGCTCCATGGTGGGCGTGCTCACTGTGGGGGGGCTCACCAGGCGGTCTGCACAGGAGAAGTCTTTCTTTTTTCGCCCAGGGGCCCAGTTGGCTGGGCGTCCAGCTGCATCTAGAATGCAGGACACACCGTCAACCTTGGGGACCCAAGTCCCCCACCCATCAGCCCTAGGCAGCCACACACTCCCCGCACCCCACTCCCAGGTCTTTACCTCCCACAAAGACGCTGTCCCCAATGGAGATGGGTACGTCCTCATTGGCCTGGGGAGGGACGGAGACAAACAACAGGCCGTAAGGAACCCGTTCCCACACCTGTGCCCTTAGAGCAGTAATGGGCTCTGCTGAGCATTGGGCCTGACCGCTAACAGCTCCTGCCCCACATCCGGTCCAGCAGCCAATGCTCTTGCCCAGGCTTCTCCCTGCACATTGTCTTCCTGGGACAGTGGCGAGTTCTCCTTGCTGGTCTCACTCACCACCTGTTCCTCTCTCAGCCACCAGAGGGGGCCAGTTCCCCCTGTTGACAACCCTTCTGCAGGGTCAAAGTGAAGTCCGCTTTGCCTCACACAGCCTGACCCCTGCTAGCTCCCACGTGGCCTGACTGGACCCTCATTGGCCATAAAGGCCTCCTCAGCCGGCCCTTATGTGCTCTGCACTTGTGTACTTTACACGCCGGGCTCAGTACTTTGCACTTGCTGTGACTCTGGAAGATTCTTCTGAAACCCAGACATCCACCTGGGTCCCCCCCTCACCCCCTTTAGCTCTTGACTCCAGTAGCACTTCAGACAGACGACCGCCCTGGCTGTCTGGCCTCGCTGCCCCCCCCTGTGCACTGTCTGCACCCACCCAGGCCCGAGGGCCACTCTGTAGAACGTGAAGAGAATGAGGCAACGACTGATTTCTCTCCCACCCTGGTTTGCAGTCGAAGATCATGGCCTCCTACACCAACATGAGGCCACGAGAGCTAAAACGGAAGGCACGGACGATGGGAGGGGAGGACAGGGAGACCAGGGATGGTGGCCCAGGGTGCAGAGGCTGCACAGGGAGTGGAGCTGGGCTGTCGGAAGGAAAAGGGGAGCGACAGGGCTCCGGCTCACCTGCTCCCGCAGATGGTCCCACATGCCGATCACTGGCTTCCGGAACAAGCCAGCGTGGGTGGCCACCAGCACCTATGGACAAGGTGGGGTCAGATACCATTTGAGCACCCAAAGTTCTTCAAGGACATACAGGACCCAAGGGTGCTGTACCGCCCCTCACCAATCAAAGGAGAGCTCCCAATGTACCAAACTTGCCACTCCCGATGGGTTTCTGTCCACATAACCGCACCCAGGACCTGTCCCCCCACTCTGTCCCATATCTCTCTGGATCCCCCCCACACACACATCTGGCCCCTACTCTGGGTCTATTCCCACCTCTCTGGGACTCCACCGCCTCATCCCACCCTCATCAGGGCCATGTTCCCTTCTCTTCGCCCTGTTCTCTCTGGAACCCCCTCAATAAGACCCTAGGTCCCTGTTCTACCCCTCTCTCGGTCTTGGACAACCCCTGTCCCTGTTCCCTATCTCTGGGGTGCTGCCCCCCTCTCTGTCCTATTTCTCTGGGTCCTTCCCTACCAAGTCCCTGCCTCACGTCTCTCTGGGACTCTGTTCGCCCATGTCCCCTTTCAGCCTCCCTTGCAACTGTACCTGAAAGGGGACTCCCAGCTTCTCCAACACGGCCTCCACCTTGGCCTTGAACTCCTCTGCTGACAGTTTCCCGCGCCCAATGCTCATCTGGTTGGTGAATATCACCAGCTGGGGAGCAGATGGGTGTCACCCAGTGCCCTCCTCACCAGGCCCCACAGCCTGGACCTGCAGGCGCGCTTGCGTACACACGCCCACCCCCCCAACCACACACCTTGTAGCCCTCAGCGTCCAGCTCCCGGAGCTTACGTGGAATCTCTAGGTACAAGATCCTACAGTGGGCGGGAAAGCGGCAAGGTGACTGAGAGCCCAGGGGGGGCCGCCCTCACCCTCCTCTCCTGCTCACCTCCAGTCACTGGGGCTGGTGGGAAAGACCTTCCCAGAGCGTGTGGTGATGAGGGTCCCGTCCAGATCAAAGCCGGCCACCTGCCATCACCAAGAAAGTAACAGTGACATCTCTGATCCCCTCACTCACAGGCTGGCACATATCAACTCCAGAGGCAGGGACTATGATCACTGTCCCTTACAGATGAGGAAACCGAGTTAGGGGGCCTATACATCTTGTATAAGGACAGGCACAGCAAGGACGCATCTCTGATGCCCGAGTAGAGACTGAAATCTTCCCTTTACTGTTTCCCATTCTTCCTACAACCTTCAGTATTCCAATCTTTACAATGGGGTTCATACCCTATTCACCCTGACTTCCACCTGGAGGGAATAATAACTAAATAAGGCAGAAGCTAACTTGTTTGGGTGCTAACTGCACATCAGGCTGTGCCACGTGGTTTCCATGGATTCCCCACCTTACTGGTGAGAGAAAAGGGGCTCAGAGAACGTGGTTAACAGCCTTTGAATTCGAATCACTCTGGACCTAAGAATACTCATCATAAGAGCTCCTGCTAAAATGATCCCAATCATTGCCATGGTTACAGAGTGGTTGCCGAGGATTAGGCAGGAGCTGACATACATTGATTCCCCCCAATGTTTACCACAATCCCTGAATTTAGCATCAGGTCCATTTCTCAGAAAAGTGGAGACTAGCCCTGGCAGGTTTGGCTCAGTGGTTCAGCCCGCAGTCCAGAGAGACCGGGGTTCGGTTCCCGCTAAGGGCATGTACCTCGGTTGCAGTTTGTCCCCGGCCCTGGCTGGGTCGTGCGGGTGGCAACCACTCGATGTGTCCCTTTCACGTCGATGTTTCCCTCTCTCTCTCCCTCCCACTCTATCTGAACAAAAAATGGAAAAATGTCCTCAGGTGAGGATAAAAAAAAAAGTGGAGACTAAAAGAGGTTGGGTGACCCGCCCAGGGGCACAACAAACTTGGGGTTGAGTTCCCAGTTTGCGGTGGCTCCCTCATTCCACAGATTGGCCCTCACCTTGCCCCGGGGCTTCACCCCAGGGGCAGTGAACACTAGCAGCTTCTCAAAGCTCTCCCAGCCAGGGGATGACTTCCGCACTCGCTTTTTCTGCTGTTCAACATTTTCCTCCTCTTCCTCTTCCTCCTCCTCTGCGTCCTCCGCCTCCTCTTCCTCCTTCGAGGCTAACGGAGGGGTGCCAGGTGGAGTGTCTGGCTGGCATTCTGGTGTGCGGGCCTCTTGCCAGCGCAGGATCAGCGGGTGGAGGCCGTTGACCAAATACAACGTGTCCCCCACCCTCAGAGAACCTTCTGACCCCGGCTTCAGCTCCTGGGTCCCAGCAGTTGAAGGGTTAATTCCCAGCTGCAAAAGGAAAAGGGACAAGGTGGGACTAGCTCTACCCTCCTGCAGAAACCTCCAATGAATCAACCCCGGATAGGGCTTGCTATTCTGTACCTGCCAGTCAGACCCCTCAGCCCTGCCTCTTCACTGCGTACCACCAATCAGGGCGTTGGAAAAGTTACACGGGTCCGGTGTGATCCAATTGAAACGTGGATGAGACAGGCAACACCTTGAGACTTCTTTACTGGGCACACCTGCTTTCCCTCCCAGCCAGACATTGCCAATGCACCTGTTCCCTGCTGGGTGGTGATTCCTCCCAGACCCCACCTCCAGGCCTTGCTGAGCAACTCGTACCTGTTTCACAGCCACGGTCCGAGTCTCAGGGTCTGCGACCAGCTCCACTGAGGGTTGAGAGGACGGAGTCAGGATATGCACCCCTGTGTGGTTACTTCCCTCATTACCCGGAAGCATGGTCAGCTTCGGGCCACACGATGGCGCTACAGCACCCATTCCGGAGGAAGAGGCCGCTCATTTCTAAATGGGATCGGGTCACTCCTTGACGTGCAGTCACCAGATAAAGGCCTTAGGGTGGCCTGTGACGCTGGTGTTCACTTAGGGACAGGGCGGGCATTTTTCTGTATAGAACTGGCTTCCCTTTGACCAGGAGTATAGCTAGGTGCAGCTCTGGGACTTGGCCCATTACCACTCATCCCTGCTTAGCAACATGTGCTTCTCGCCATAGGATCGGTTCTCGTTTTGTTTTTGTTTTGTTTTTTTTGGTATGTGCCCCTAGCGGGAACCGAACCTGGGACTCTCTGGTCCGCAGGCCAATGCTCCAACCACTGAGCCAAACCAGCCAGGGCGAGGATTTTTTTCGTTTTGTTTTTGTTTTGTTTTTATAGGATCGGTTCTCTTCTTGACAAGGGTCGTAGCCGAACTCAACCCTTCACGGTGGCATCTGAACATCCTTCTCTGCCCAATGACAACTGTCTCGGAGAGGCTCGGAACGCACCCCCCTACCCCCCCAGGAGTCTGCTAGTTCCAGGCCAGACACAGCCTTTCTCTTCCCAGAGGGCACCTGCCGACTTCAGGACTGGCTGCACCCACAATTTCTTTCTTTTTTTATCCTCACCCGAGGACATTTTTACATTTTTATTTTTACATTTTTTGTACAGATAGAGTGGGGAGAGAGAGGAAGAGAGAGAGAGGGAAACATCGATGTGAGACACATCGAGTGGCTGCCACCCGCACGACCAACCAGGGCCGGGGACAAACTGCAACCGAGGTACATGCCCTTAGCGGGAACCGAACCCGGGTCTCTCTAGACCGCAGGCCGACGCTCTAACCGCTGAGCCAAATCGGCCAGGGCTGCACCCACAATTTCGCCTGGTTGGTTAAGCATGTCCTTTCCTGAATTGACTGCACATCTTTCCTAGAGAGTGTTCCGGCTCCCAAAGCAGGCCACACCCCCTCCAGCTCAGGCCCCGCCCCTGCTTACCTTGGTTTCTGGAGCACTTCCGGTCAGCAACCTGGGTCAGGGATCCCCGACCCAGGACCAGGGCTTGCCCGTCCATGGGCAGGAAGATGGGGGGAGCTCCCCCAGGGGGGCTCTCCAGCCACAGGCTGCCCCTGGCTTCCGTCTCGGCCATTTTGGGCGCCAGCCTGAGGACAAGTAGGGTAAATGTTTGGAGAGCAGGTCGCCTTCAGTTGCTACAGGAAGTCCCGCCTCCTCTCGTCCTTCCACCAGAAATTCCCTCCAGCCGCTGAACGCTCGGGAAATCCCACCCACTCGCCAGCCCCGGCTCGCGCCGTTTCCCAGGTGACGACGCCTGGGCCGGTCCTCCGGGAGGTGAGGCCCCTACGACCCGGGGCAAAGGCCGAGGACCTCGCGCGCTCCCGCCTCTGTCCAACGCTCACTGGTGCTCTGGCTCTCCCCCCACTTCCGACCAGGCAGCTCCTGCCCGGCGTGCTCGGTCCACAGCTCCGCCGGCGGATTTCTGGTTTTCGGTGGACGGAAATGACTCGTCCTACACGGAGAGGCGGGGCCTTAGAGCTCCTCCCACGACTGAAGCCGCGCCCCTGCCCAGACCCCCGGCCCCTGTGGTCCCTCCACAGCGCTGACCTTCCTCTCTCTTGCTGCAGTGTGAGGCGCAGGCCAGTAGGGGGCGGGGATCCTCCGTTGCAGATTGTTTCCACTAAGAGCTCTTAACTCTCATTCCCTTTGCTGGAGATGGTTGCAGCGGGAAGTTTTCTTTCCCATTTAATGATCATTGGCAGTCGAGGAACCCCCCACCCCAACGGAATCCGTGCCTCCGATGCTGTTGTTTTCTCATCTGTAAAGTGGGAATAATCGTTTCCACTTCGTGGAGTTACTAGGAAGATTAAAGGAGTTGATACACGTAAATAACTTATAAAAGTATTTGGGTGGTAGTTAGCCCTGTTTAAGCCTTGCCTCTTAGCAATCCTCGGTGGTTCTGTGATGAGAGGTGGAGAGTCCGTTTACTTGACCCAGTCCTAACTTCGAACCAGGCGCCACTCGATCTCTAACCCCCCGTTGTCGTTTCTTGTTAATCCTCACCCGAGGATATTTTTCCATTGCTTTTTAGAGTGGGAGGGAGAGAGAGAGACATAGATGTGAAGGAGACATCGACCGGTTGCCTCCCGCCAGACCCCAACTGGGGCCAGATGGAAGCAGTAACCCAGGTACGTGCCCTTGGGAATTGAACCCGCGACCCCTCGGTCTGCGCGCCGACGCTCTAATCGCTGAGCCAAGCCGGCCAGGGCACCTCCAGCTGTTCCATGGCAGCAAACTCCTGGCCTCAGCTGGAGGTACTCTAGTTTTGCAGGGGCCTACATAGGCTCAGGAGACCAATTCTGATTTCAACATCCACCCCCCCACCCCCCGCCGGGAAGACTGGGGCTCCATGGTCAACAGGACTCCCACCGCATGAATGTCCATTTCCTCATCCCTAAAATGGGACAGGAATTCCCATTCCCAGCTTTACAGTGAGATGCTGCTCATTGGACTTGAGAAAAACTTTGTCATCCACAACACACCTCATACTCATTTAACAGCGGTAAAACTCTTTAATCTCAGAGCCCCCCTCCCAACTCGCGACCCCCCCACTCTCCCCCTCCCCCCACACATCGGGCCGGAGAGTGAAGGCCCCTGCCCCCCACCTTGGGTGGAGGAGGGCCCTTTAAGGCACCTGTGGGGAAGGGGAGAAGGGCAGGAGCTGGTAACGTCCTGGATACAAGGACAGGCTTCGATTGGCAGGCTGTTATGGGATGGAACCAGTGAGTGTCGGACGCAGGGAGAGGGTCGGGCCATCCCTGAGGAGGGGGCCAGAGACCAGTTGTCAGGACTTAGTAAAAAACGACCTCAGCCCCAGTAGTGTCGAGAACATAAATTTAAGGCCACAGACCAATCCTGGGCACAGGAGGAGGGCTTGGCCACGCCCCTAGGAGGTTGGCTCTATCCAGGTAGACTTCAGAAGGGGCGGGTGGAGACTGGTCAAGACCGTTATAGGATTCCAGCCAATCAGAAGAAGTTGCCCGTCCACCAGTCTGAAGCGGAGCGCCACCACCCAATCCTGGGGTTTGGCCGAGCTCTTCCAGAGATGGAGCCAATGCCGTGCGAGCAAAGCCCTTATCGCTAGGCAGAAAACAATGCAAGTCCACCCATTGCGGGCTTAGAACTAGCCACGCCAATTGGAGAGCAAGCCAGTCCCTTAATAGAAAGAATCTGTCACTGGGCAGAAAAAGAGGCGACAGATCCGACCGGGAAATTGATAGGTCCCGCTCCTCGGCGCAAGGGGGTGGTAGATTGAAAGGGCGGCAGGGATTGGCCGGGGCTGGTCAATCCCAGGCCCTGGGTGGGGTTTGCGGTGACAGAGGAGGCCGGTCCCGGATCTGACTCCAATTGGCGGGCCCCGGGGGCGGGGCGGGGGTGTAGTGTAGGACTGGACAAACACTGGGCCAGGCTTTCTCCCTGGGCCTCAGTATTTCCGTTTCAGCTTCTGGAAGTCGCTAGTGTTGAGTCGCGGTCGTGGCAGGTCCCCGAAGACCTGGGTGTCCTCGGTCTCCCGCATCACCAGCGCGCGCATGCTTGCCGCGATGCGGTCCAAGTCCGGTGAGGAGGGCTGCGGAGACAGCGACGACGTGGACGGCGTCAGCGCCCGCAGCAGCGCGCTCGCACCCTGCCTCACCCTGCACCCCAACCCCAGCATTCAGTGCCTGCACCCTGGACTCCAGGCTCCCTCCCAGCACTTTTGTCCTGCGATGCCCATGGCCAGAAGACCCTTCACCCTGTCTTGCTCAATATAGGATCTTCCTACCCGGCTCAAACACCACCTCCTCCAAGAAGCCTTCCTGCCCTTCTCCCCTGCTTGGCCTGAACCATGGCGTTCTAGTTCTTTCTCACACAGTGGAAGCGCTGCTTGTCTGCTGAGCATCAAACTGTGTGCACCCAGAGGGTCTCATGTCTAAGGATTTGGGTTTGAGATTGTCACGTGCCAATCAGGCCTCTGCTATCCACATGGATTTCAGCCCCCTGTTGAAGGCTTCGGTGTCCTCCTCTGAAAATTGGGCCAATAACAGGATCTGAGCAAATCAACACAGTGACTGCTCAGGAAAGGTGAACTGGCATGTCAGCAGCGCTGTACAGAAAGGAGCCCTCTCCATGTCAGCCTCCACCTGGGAGGGATCCTGTCCTGCCTGCTGCCCCAGCACCTGTCACCTTGAGCTGGCCTCCAGCAGAATGAGGCCACTGACAGAAGCTGGACCTGAACCAATTCAGAACCAGCCCAGGGCCCAATGAAGGCCCTGAACGTTGCTCATTAACTGTTTCCACCAGCAGCACACAGGGACGCGGCCGCTGACGGACCCTGCCAGTGTGTAGAAGACAGAAGAATCACAGGGAGGTGAACCACGGGACCCAAGGCCTCCTCTCGTGCAGTCCATAGTTCCTCTCCAAAAGGAAACTGGGTGCCAATCCCAGCTTTACCCCTTACAGGCTGCCTTGGGGAAGTCACATGTACTCTCCGTGCCTCAGTTTCCCCTCTGCTTCAGTGATGGGCCAGCCCAGGTACTGCATATGTAGGATCATATGGGAGGAACAGAGGACAAGGGGTGGGGGGTGGGGTGGGAGTTGGAAGGTGATCGGACCCGTCTGGGCCTCAGTTTCCCCATCTGGAGGGGATACCAAATCCTTATGCCTCGCCCACAGCATATATTCTATCAGTGGAGCTGTTCCCGAAAGCAAGAGGCTTTCTCTACAGGACACTGGACTGCAACAATTAACACTGCCTGGCTCTGGCCCAAGAGCCTGCTGGGTGAGGTGGGAGGTGGGATTAATCCTATGAAATGTGGCATCCATGCCTGAGGGCTTCCTGGAGGAGGTGGTGCTGGGCTCTTCCCACCATCCCTCCTCCATCCCCTCCCATTTGCCCCTCACCGGCCCATTCTCCTCATCCGATGACCGTGCTTCTGTCCTCTTTTCCTTGAAGGTCCAGATGGGCACGGACACAGGCAGGGACTTGGCATACTGCTGTGTGGGCAAGGCTGAGGCCGGGGGCACTGAGTAGGCGGGGTGGCCAGTGGGTGTCTCCTCACTCAGGCTGCCGTCTGGGAGAGAGGGTAGACTTCAGCCTCTGTCCTACCTCCATCCCAGACACTGCCCACCCCAACCCACGGTGTGTGAGCAGCCTGAGACACTTACCGTCTGTGCTCTCAGGGTCCGACTCACAGAAGGGGGCCAGGTCCTGGAGTGTGGCATCCTCATCCATCACAAAGAGCCCTGTGCATGGCATTAGAGGCCCAGGCCAGTCAGGTCGCCTCCTCCAGCCACTGCCTCTCTGCTCCCTGCTCCTGGCATTGGCCAGGCCTTTGCAAACCTCGGGGTTTCTGGGACTATTATTCCCTCTGCCTCCAACACCCTTTCCCTGGTTATCTGCCTGGTCATCGGCAGAAGCAAATCTAGTTTCTATCTGCTACACTCTCAGGTGAAAGCAACTGGCTGAACAGGAAGCCTGTAAGGTCTGTTTGGGATGAACTGACTCAAAATACAGGTTGAGAGAAATATGAGATGATTATAATCCCTGTTTGACATAACAGGAACCTGAAGGCACAGAGACTTTAAAACACTTGCCCAAAGACCCATGGAGTAATAAATGGTATCATGGGGATTTGAACTCAGGCCATATGGCTCCAGAGTCTGTGCCCTTAACCCTATGCAAGTTTTCTCCAGCAACAGTGAAGAAGCCAGCTATTGGTAGTAACAATAACAAACGAGTAACTCCTATTTACTGAGCCCCCTACAAACTCCTACTCCTTCTTCAAAGCCCCGATGTTCCAGTCCAGTCTCTAGGAAGCATCCAACCACCAGATTGCCCCCAAAACTGCCCAATTGCTCCCTCCGCTGACTCCCCATTAAGTCCTTTGTTCTCACAGGCATTACGCATCCAGGTTTAGAAGTAAATTCTGTTCTGCTCATGATTCCAGCTTAAGAGTCGCCCTGTGGAGACCCCTCCCTCTATACGGTGTGGCCTCATATCAGGACTCCAGTACTTTGGCTAGACTGGGAGTCTCATAAGTTGGCTTTGTGTCTGTGTCCAGCACCTTCCAGCACAGAGCTGAACGTAGCAGAGTATAAGAAAACTGAAGCTCAGAGAGGGAAAATGACTTGCTCAAGGTCATACAATGACTCCCAAGCAAGCAAGCTAGCTTAGCACACAGACTATGAGAGTTCAGCTTCCACAAACCTCAGGGCTCAGAAACAAGCAAGTCCCACCCCTCCAGGAAAACCCACTGTGGAGGCAACTTGCCAAGCAGAGAGATACCCCAGTCCCTGCCCTCGGCGCCTCTCACCTCCGTTATCGCTGACGCCCAGTCGCTCCCCAGAGGTCTCTGTCTCTGTTGGCTCGTCCTCATCCTCCTTGTCTTCCTCCCTGGGCAGGGCAGGCTGGGGTTGGCTCCCTACAGAGCTGGGTGGCTGAGGTGCTGGTGGGGGCATAGGGGGCCGGGCAGCAGTGGCAGCCCTGTGGGCCAGGGCGATGTCCTGGAGGCAGTGGCGAGCAGCCTCTGCCAGAGCCCCTCGGCCGTGGGCTGCATAGGCGCAGGGCCCAGGGAGGGGTGGCGGGGGCGGTGCGGCAGTCAGCAGCACCAGCTCCATGCCTGTCTGCGCCCGGAAGCGCTCAGCAGCCCCCACCACAGCCTCCCACAGCTCCTCGGGGCGCCCCGACGCCATCCGCGCCCTGCAGGGCAGAGCAGGACAAGGAGCTGAGGCTGCGCTGACTGTGCCATCCCTACCCAGCCCTGTGTCCACCTATCTCTGGATACCACTCCCATCCCCCCCCATCCATGTGTCCCAGCTGAGCTCGGCATCCTCCCCCAAACCCACCATTCCCTCAGAATTCCTCCCCATCCAGACATCAACCCCCTAGTCCCTTATCTCCCGCTCTGCCTGTCCCCACAGCCCCCATCTCTCCTCTTGGACCGGCCCTTGGGAGCCACCAGCCACCAGCCACAGGTGAGTAAGGAACACTTGAGATGTGGTGGGTCCAAAGTGATAGGTGCTGTGCGTGTGAAAGCCACACTGGGTTCTGAAGACTTAGTACAAGAAAATAGGATGTAAAATATCTCACAAGCAATCGGAGGGTGATTACATTAAAATGGACTAAATAAAATATATAGCGAAAATGAACTTCATCTGTTTTCTTTTTGCTTTTTTTAATGTGGCTTATGGGAAATTTGAAATTAGAAGCATGGCTTGTATTATATCTCTATTGGACAGTGCTGCCCTGACCATCATCCCGGCCTCTCCAGGTCAGCCAGCACACGGCCCTGTAGTCCTTCTACACCTGGAGCTGTCCCTGCCCCTCCCCAGCATCCCTAGAACAAGGTCAAAGCCCCTTCCAGAGTTCTGAGCCTGAGGCCTTGGCCAAGGTGCCTTCCCTCCCTTACCTGGCCCAATGGCCCTCCATTTACTTGTCATTCTTCTCCTCACCTCTAGATCAGATTGGCCCCAACCTTGTTGTACTGGCTCCCCCAACACCTGAGCAACCCCTATTCTATGACAGAGCTCTCTGGGGAGTACTGTCTGGATCCATGTCCCTCTCCCCAGCCAGTGTGGGACCTGAAGGCGGGCCTGTTGGGCCTGAGCCACCAGCAGCCTTGCCCAGCACATGGTAGGCCTGAAGGCTGGGCTGATCAGAGAATGGTGTGTGAGCTGCTGTCTGCGCCTGGACTAGGCCCATGAAGCTTTTCTTTTTCCTACAAATCTGTTCCTCAAAAATGAGGCACCCGGCCCTGGCTAGTTTGGCTCAGCAGTTGAGCATCGGCCTACGGACCAGAGAGTCCCGGGTTCGGTTCCCATTAGGGGCACATACCACCAAAAAAAAAAAAAGGAGGCACCCAGAGCACTTGCTGAAGCCACACACAAAGTGAGGGCACAACCAACACCTTTCCTGATAGACCCCGTAGCAAGTTTACCCTGCACTTCCCACGTGCCAAGCTGGGACCTAAGTGTGCCATCAACATTCTCAGCCCAACCTCTCACCAGCCCTATGAGGGAGGAGCTATCATGACCCCACTTTACACTTGCAACTGAGGCCCAGAATCAATACTGGGACCAGCTGGAGAGGGGAGCTGGGACCTGAATTTGGCAGTCTGATGCCAGGGCCTGTTCTGAATACCAGGATGCCATCTGGCCTGCCTCGTGAGGCAAGGTGTATGATCTCCTAGTCCAGACGTGGAAAGTGAGGCCCGCAAAGCTTAAGGCACCGGCCTCAAGGCACACAGCTAGAAAGGGCAGAAACAGGGCCCACACTGCTGTCTGCCCAACTCTAAAACCTAACAGTAGTGGGAGGTGCTCAGGGTCTCAGCCACTCAATCCCATCTGATGAAAAAGAAAACTTAAGCCCAGGGCAGGAAAATGACTGCTCCAAGGTCATACAGCCTAGCAGTGCTAGACCTGGAGCTCTCGATTCCTTGGAACACCAGGATTAAATTCCTTTCTGTCCTAGACCTTAACACAACCACAGGCCTGCAAAGAGTAATGGGGGTGAGTAGGTGTGAAGGTCCCTCCTCCTCAGAGAGCATATACAAATAGGAGAAGAGTGATGCAGACCTTTCTGGGGACTCTCTGGAGTCTGCTACCCAAGAGGAAAGAATTCAAAACTTGAGGCGTCTCCCGACCTTAGAGCTTCTGGAGGAAGTCCTGCATCCTTCAAAGAGCTGAGACATGGAGGACCGCCCCCCCTTTCCTGTCCCCTCAAATGGAGCAGTTTAAGATTAGGAAGAGAAGAAAAGGAAGTGAGACCTGTCCCCCCCAGGAGGGGAGGGAGAGGTAACGTGATTGGCCTCTTAGGATGAGGTTAGGAGGTGAAGTGAAGAAACTGACTCTAGGAATAGGGGAGGAAAGAGGAAAAGTTCCCCAAGGAACGAGAGGCTAGTAAAGTCCCCCTCCAACCACCTGTCAAACTGGAAGTGAGCCACCCCCAACCCCAGCTCGAAGGTGGGAGAAAGTCGAGGATGCACCCCTTACTCCGGGGTGGGGTGAATGTCCAGGGTCTTTCTCCACCGCTCAGAGACGTCCCCAGCTCGCCCGGGGGGCCAGCGAAGACCCACTTCTCCAGACAGAAAACAGGAAATCCCGCCCAGGTGAAGAACAGAGCCGGAAGTCCCGCCTTTAGACGGGTGAGGGGCGTCCGAAACCCCCACCCCTGAGCATCCCCCGACCCTAGGGACATGGGTTCACAGTCAGAGAATCCTAAGGGATCTGAAAGCCAGGAGCTAAGGCTCCCTAGGCTTTGCCTCAGCTCAGACACGACGGTCCACGCCAGCGCCCCCCTTCCAGTGTTCAGCGTGGGGTCGCTGGACGATCTCTGTCCCTTGACCAACGCAGGCTATATCCCTCCCGAGAGCGGATAGCCCTCCCAGTGCCCCTCTCCTCCGGGCCCCCAAATCCTCCCCACACCGCGGTTCACAACGCCGCTCCACTCACGTGCCCGTAGCCAGCATGGCCGGCCTGGCGCCGTCACCGCCCTCAAAAGACATGGCGGCGCCGTGCGTCACTTCCGCCTCGCTGGCCCGCCTCCACGCCTCACACTCCGCCTCTCTAATGGAGGCCGCCCGAGATCAAGATGGCCACAGAGGCTTCACCGGATCTCAGTGGGGCAATGGCGGAAGCAGGGTGCCCAGAGGAAAGATGGGGAAAGGCTTCAGCTTGGTAGGCAACAAGTCTGGACCACTACGATTTGACCCCAAGAAATATGGCGGCCTGCACATACACACTCAGGACCAGTCCCTCACTTATAATCAATCTCTTCCACAGAAATGGAAGAAAGTAGTGCTCGTTAATGACAGGGCAACCAGCCTAGCATCCTGTGGGCTCTCCCTCCAGCCTATCCCCTTCATCACCAAGGCTGGCAAAGATCCAACAAGGCAGCCTTTCTCGCGTCGGTTTGCCCAACTTCAAAATGGCGGCTCAGGCTGCTTTCGACGGTGGCTCGTGGATTCATCTGGGACCTCTTCGTTCCCAGACACACTGATGGCTTCATCCCGGTAACCCGAGTGCCTCGGCGCCTGTTGCGACATACAGCTTCTCTCACCTCCTTTTCCTTGCTCGGTTTCTCTTTTCCAGGACCTCGCTTTCGCGCCCCGCAGAGGGATGGGACTGCCCCACGTTAGCATGCCCTGAGCTGACCGTCCTTACTCGTGCCCTCAAGCAAAATGGCACCTCTTTGGCTTCGATGCCAGTATACAATATGGAGAAAGGAGTAGGCGTTTCGGCGCGTTTGAGCGAGGGGTTGGAGCTCCCCGGACCCTCCCTCTTGTTTACTTCGTGGCCAGGACGGGAGCACTGCGCCTGCGCATCCTCGTTGGCTGGCTCCACCTTCGCCGTCTGCGCCACGTGATTTAAACCCTCGTGACTTAAACCCTCGTGGTTCAAGTTCAACCACCCCATTTTGAGAGATAGTTACACCCACTCCTCTTCCAGAACAGGCAAGAGCGCTACCACTGCCTGGCCTTGAGGGGAGTCTCCTCTCCGGATGTGACAGCACGCTGACCCGGAAAAGGAGGGCGCCGGGTCAGTGGGTCCTCGGCCGCGGCAATGGAGGCAGTCGGCTACAGGGTAAGCACTGAGGAGGCGTTCTCTCGCTTCTGTCGGTATGAAACGCCCCGCGCCGGTGGTCGCCTTTTCCCTCAGGTCGTGCCGGGGCTCTGGGAGCCCGGCCGACCCTCGGCACATACACCGTTCCCTGATAAACGCGCTGTCGCCCTCCCGCCTCTGCTCCAGGGAAGACCCAGATCCTTTGGCCCTGCTCCCTGGGCTGCTGAGAGCCTCTCCTAGGCCCCGCCCCTTTTGAAGACAGACCCACCCCTACCCCCACTCCCACCCCGTGTCTTCCTCCCACGCTCCAGGGTCGCTCCAGGGTCCGGACCCCTCGCTGGTCGGCTGGTCTTCAGGGTTCTCCACTCCCGGCCCCGCCCAGTGGAGAATAGCACCTCCCTAGGTCCGCTCCCATTGGCTCCCTTCGGGGCCCCGCCCCTCACTGGTCCCCATCCTCAGGTGGTGTTCGAGAAGGGGGGCGTGTACCTGCACACCAGTGCCAAGAGGCATCAAGACCCAGACTCCCTCATCGCGGGTGTCATCCGTGTTGTGGAGAAGGTAGGCTAAGGGGGAGCAGGGCTGGGACAGGTCCAGAGCGGCATGGAGGCCGCATCTGTAGAAGTACCGTGTAGTTGGCGGCGATGGACCTTAGGAAGATGGGGTGGGGGTTGGAGGGAAAGGTAGGGCATTGTCAAGCTGAAAGTCCAAAATGGGGAAGAAGTTCCGCAGCGTGGTTTGGGGATTCAGCAGAGGAGCTCCTCTAACCCCTCGCTCCTTCCCTCAGGACAAGGATGTCTTCCTGCATTGGGCTCCTGTAGAGGAAGCTGGAGATGCCACCCAAATCCTGTTCTCCAAGAAGGTAGGCTACCCTCGCTTCCCCCTTCTCCACTTGTTTTTTTTTCCAGGCCCAGGCAGTGAAAGAGCTGGGTACAATCCCAGACCTACCCTTGGGGCCGACGGGACCCTACTTGGTTTCCCCTTCTCTGTGAAATGGGGCTGAAGATGCCTGTGCATGGAAGGAAAGCAGGTCCTGTGAGGTTCATGGCCATGAGGACAGTGTCCCCTCACCCCTTTCTTCTTGGGAGAGCCCTGCCAGGACACAAGAGGACAACTCAGCCTGTGGATTTGGGTTCCATGGGCTGTTAGCCCATAAGAACTTCAAGTGGCATTTCCTCTGGGGCAGTCCTGCCGTCACGTCCATGGAGGGAACAGGATTGACCGAGGTTCCTTGCCCACTTCAGTAGCACAGGACCTTACCTTCCTCATTACGTCGTCTCCTGGGGCTCCTCTTTGCCAGTCCCTGTGCTGGATGGTGCGGGCACCCAGAGATAAGTCCATCCCAGACCCTGCTTAAGCCCTCACTCCCTTTCTATTTTTGAGAAATTGAGGCACAGTGAGAAGAAGCCCCTTTTCCGAGGCAAAAAAAAAAGAGCTAGGAAGTATTGCAACTTGGGTTTGAACCCAAGCACAGATTCTAGAGCCCTGCCTCTTTCTGGGGGAGCATACATTTGGACTGGGATTCTAAAGATGAGGAGGGGCCAGGAAGAAGTGGGTTTCAGGGCACAGGGAATGTGGGGTGTCTGTGGAGGGGTTTGCTGGAAAGGTGGTTGGGTCTGAAAGGCCAGGCTCAAAAGTGTGGACCCTGTCCAGGGTGGGGAACAGGAGAAAGGTGTGAGTGTAGCCCTGGCCGGTTTGGCTCAGCGGTTAGAGCGTCGGCCTGCGGTACAGAGAGACCTGGGTTCGGTTCCCGCTAAGGGCATGTACCTCGGTTGCAGTTTGTCCCTGGCCCTGGTTGGTCGTGCGGGTGGCAGCCACTCGATGTGTCCCTTCACATCGATGTTTCTCTCTCTCTCTTCCTCTCTCTCCCTCCCGCTCTATCTGAACAAAAAATGGAAAAAAAAAATGTCCTCGGGTGAGGATAAAAAAAAAAGGTGTGAGTGTAGAAAGCCCCCTGGCGGGGGCATGTGGCAACTAGACCAAAGGACCAAATGGAGGGAGATTGGAGGCTAGACGATCAGGGAGGGGGCCACTGTGTTGGGTCAGGGAGAGAGGATGAAGCTTCCTCAGCTGGGGCCATGGGGTTTGAAATGACCTAGGTGGGTACAAATGGAGATTCCACACCAACCCCCTACCCAGGAAGTTGGGGCAGAAGCAACGAGGATTTTGCATTTTTCACCAAGCTGGAAGCATTCTGAGTGTTTCTGAGAGTATTGCTGTCCTCCTGGCACTCTTGCTTTCAGACACCAAATCCACAGGACGGGCTTCAGCAGAAAGGGCAGATAGGCATTCAGGATCCATGCAGAATGCTCCAAGGAACACAAAACCAGGCTGACGACAGGTTAAGCAAACCAGTTTGTTTCTTTCCTCTCACAAGACTCCAGGAAGTGTGGAGCTTTTGACCTTGATTGTTGACATCAGGGCCTGGATCTGAGACCCTACTGTGATTGCCCTAGTGGCCTGGAAACGACTGTTTCAGCTCCAGCCATAGCATCTACCTTTTAAGAGGGGGGCAAGCAGGGTACCCATCACATCTGTCCTCATTAGGAAAGATGAGATTTCCCAGAAACCCTCTGCATCGGTTAGGAGTGGTACTTGGCTACACGTAACAGAAATAGAAATAACAGTGGCCTCTTCAAAGTAGAAGTTCATTTTTTTCCCGTTAAAAAGCCCAGAAGTAGAACAAAAATCGATGACTCTCTGCTTTCTCTCTCTCTCTCTCTCTCTCTCTCTCTCTCTCTGTGTCAAAACAAAACAATACATTTTTTGCCCTGGCCGGTTTGGCTCAGCGGTTAGAGCGTCGGCCTGCGGTCCCGAGAGACCTGGGTTCAGTTCCCGCTAAGGGCACGTACCTCAGTTGCAGTTTGTCCCCGGCCCTTGGTCGTGCGGGTGGCAGCCACTCGATGTGTCCCTTTCACATCGATGTTTCTCTCTCTCTCTCCCTCCCACTCTATCTGAACAAAAAATGGAAAAAAAATGTCCTTGGGCGAGGATTAAAAAAAAAAAATGTAAAAAAATAAAATAAAAAAAACAATACATTTTTTAAAAAGTTCAGCCTGGCTGGTGTGGCTCAGTGGTTGAGCGTCGACCCATGCACCAAGAGGTCACCAGTTCAATTCCCGGTCAGGACACATGCCCAGGTTGTGGGCCTGATCCCCAGTGGAGGGCATACAGGAGGTGGCCAGTCGATGTTCTCTCTCATCGATGTTTCCATCTCTCTCTCCCTCTCCCTTCCTCTCTCTCTAAAATCAATAAAGAAAAACAAAAGTTCAGAACTACAGGTTTGCGTGTCATCAGTGATCCAGTTTCCTTCTGCCTTTGCTCTGCCATCCTCCACATGTCACAGCCATCCTCAGCACGTGGTGCTCATCTCAAGGCTGTCTGGAGGTCCAAAAGGGCTGCTGGAGCTCCAGTCTTTTTGACTGTTTTTGTTCACGCTGCGTGTGTGTTGTAGGTTGGCCAATGAGCTCTGCTCATTACGGTTACTCAAGGAAACATGCTGCTAGAGCAGCCACCATATTAAAAGTCACCATTCCTGTCCTGGCCAATTTGGCTCAGTGGTAGAGCGTTGGCCCACAGACCAGAGAGGCCCCCGTTCGGTTCTCACTAAGGGCACGTGCCTCGGTTGCAGGTTGTCCCCGGCCCCAGTTGGGGTCGTGTGGGTGGCAACCAGTCGATGTGTCCCTCTCAAATGGATGTTTTTCTCTTTCTCTCTTCCCACCTCTCTCCCTCCCACTCTATCTGAAGATAAATGCAAAAATGTCCTCGGGAGAGGATTAAAAAAAAAACCTTTTTTAAAAAAGAAAAGTCACCATTCCTTGTGGCAAAGGGAAAGAAAGTTAAAGGTTGTGCCCTGATAATTAAACAGTCCATCCTGGAAGTGATATGATCCAGCCTCAGGGCCAGAACTAGTTGTACTGCTCCACCCAGCCAGTGGAATTCAATGAGTTGTGATCCTGCTGTTTGCCCGAGAGGCAGGGAGCTGTTAATATTTGGCAAATAGCATGGAAGGCAGAAATGGTTTTGCCAGGGATGTCTCAGCAGTCTTGTGGACAGGCGTCCCTGCCAGCTCTGGGCCCTCCCCTCATGGCCCTAGTTTGCTGCTACAGCTCCAAACACCATACCCTCCCTTAAGAGCATTCAAAGGTGAACCAAAGGATGTTCACTTCTATAGGTGCCCTTTTTTAAAGAAATTTTTCTTCCTCAAACTCCCCACAGATATCTTCTTAGCTCTCACTAGCCAGAGTTGGGTGTGTAGGCCACGTAGAACTGCAGGGGATGCTGGGTAAGTGAATGTTGGGAGAGTTCAGCTTCTGTTGAGGGGGTGGGGGCGGTCAGTCAGCCTGGAAGCAGCAGCAGAATTGGCTGTTGGGTAAACCCACAGTCTGGGTCCTTTTTGTGTCGTTTTACTTTTTTCATTTTTTTAATTTTCATTTTTTGGTATGTGCTCCCAGCGGGAACCGAACCCGGGACTTTCTGGTCCGCAGGCCAGCTCTCCAACCGCTGAGCCAAACCGGCCAGGGCTGTGTTATTGTTTGTGCAGGGTTTGTTGCAGGAGTTACAAAACACTCAGTTACTTTAAGCAGCAAGGGGATTACATGCAAAGCAGAGGCTTATAGAATTTTGCCAGGGCTGTAGGAACAGGATGGACCGTTCAGAACTGACCTGCAAGGGGACTTGCCACCACTGCCAAAATGAGGACTGTGGCAAGTGGGACTAGCATTGGAACTGTTGAGTTCAAGAACACCACCATCAATACTGCTTCTTGTCCCCCACCCCAGCTAGTGACTGGGTCCTGGAAGACTGAGCTGGCTCCACTGCTGTCCCAGTTGCCTCTCCAAGTGCAGGAAGATGAAGACAGATGAGTCTCCTCCTTGCTCATCAGCCAAACATGGCCACAGTAGCAGGAAGTTGCCCTCACCTAATTTCCACTTTCCAGATCTCAGTGTATCTGACTGGTACACTGTATCTTATGTTTGACACTCTAGCTGCAAGGGAGTCTGGGAAATGTCATTTTAAGGTCTTACATTTAGGTCTTTGATCCATTTTGAGTTAATTTTTGTGTATGGTGACAAGCAAGTCACGTTCTATTCTTTTACATGGGCTTTCTAATTTTCCCAGCACTGGTAATTGAGGAGGCTTTCTTTTCTCCATGGTATGTGTTTTGTCAAAAATTATTTGCCCATATACTTGTGGGTTTGTTTCTGGGAGCTCAATTCTGTTTCACTGGTTTGTGTGTCTGTTTTTCTGCCGATACCATGCTGTTTTGAGTATTGTCACTTTGTAGTGTAACTTGAAGTCAGGGAGTGTGATAACATCTACCGTGTTTCTTTTTCCTCAGGATTGCTCAGAGGTGGGTGTCTCCTCTGCCCAGGTTGCCTCCATCTCAAGGCACCACCCCTGTGAGGGAATGTGGCGCTGGGGTTCCAAACCCTTGGAATCCCAGTGCTGTCCCCTGCAGCTAGATGCTGCAGCAGTGCAGCTGTGATGGGTGGGGGCGGGGGGACCTGCTGATACATTTGTGGCTTTGTTCTCCCAGCAGTGGTGACTGCAGACTGCAGCTGCCTCACCTCTGCATCACCGCCTGTCACTGCCATTAGCCGCAGTGTACGCTTCCTGCTCAGGAGAAAATGCTTGCGTCTCTCCAGTTTTCAGGCCTGCAGATAATGTGCTCTGTAGCCTGATACTCATTGCTACAGCTTCTTCTGGGGCCCGCTGATAGCTCTGGGAGGGGAGGTAGCCAGGCTCTGTGGCTTTTTTTCCTGCTTGGCAGTGGTGGCTGGCAAGATAACTGGGGCCACGCCTCTGTGCTCCATCTCCTCCCTGTCACTGGGCTCAGCCGCCTATACGGATTAGTCAGTGTGTATCTGCTCCTCAGGCTGCAGGGCGTACAGGTGGCAACCTGATCGCTCGCCTCTCGGAGACCCGCAGTGAGCTCTGGGCTGCACCTGTGGCGCCCATCTCAGTCCCTCTCCATCCTTCCTCCCGATCCTTCCAACTCGCCCACGTAACATGTTTCAGGGGGGGAATCTCTCGGCCTCAGTCAGCAGGAAGTCTTTTGTTGAATTATAGCTGTTCAACTTGCTGCAACTTCAAGGGGAGAGACCGGGGAAATGTCTCATGTTGCCATTCTTCTGACGTCATGCCTCGTATTATTTTCATAACCTGTGGGCCAGCTACTTTTTCTGTTATTGTGATAGAATTTACTTTCCACAAAGCTCAATTTGATGGTAAAACTTAAGATTTTTGAAGTGCCTTTAACTCAGTGGTTTTCAGCATTCCCCAAATTTGGCGACCATAGCCAGTGATGAACTTTAGAACATTTCATCATGTCCCAGAGAAACCCGGTAGCTGTCAGCAGTCTTTCCGCCTCTAGAAATTAGCCTATTCTGGACGTTTTATAGAGATGGAATCACGGTTTGTGATCCTTTGTGCCTGGCTTCTTATCCTTGGGACGTTTTCAGGGTTCGTCCCTGTCGTAGTGTGGATCAGAGTTTATTCCTTTTCACTGCTCAGGAACATTCTGTGCACGGCCCTGACACTGTGTGTATTCATCAGTTTGGTGGACACTGGGCTGTTTCCACTTCTTGGCTCTCGTGAACAGTGCTTCTGTGAACGTTCACGTGTGAGTCCTGGTGTGGACATTTCCATTCGTCTCTCCGGGGTTTATGCCGAGGAGTGGAATTGCAGCGTCACGTGGTAATGCCATGTTTCACCTTTCGAGCGACTGCCAGGCTTTTCCACAGCGGCTGTGCTATTTTACATTCCCGTCTACGTGTGGGGATTCCAGTTTTTCTACCTCTTCCCCCACACTTATATAACCTGTCTTTTTTTTTAATCCTCACCTGAGAACATTTTTGCATTTATCTTCAGATAGAGCGGGAGGGAGAGAGGGAGGAAGAAAGAGAGAGAAACATCAATGTGAGAAGGATACATCGAGTGGTTGCCACCCACACGACCCCAACCGGGGCCGGGGACAAACTGCAACCGAGGTACGAGCCCTTAGCAGGAACCGAACCCGGGACTCTATAGTCGCAGGCCGATGCTCTAACCACTGAACAACTGGCCAGGGCTTGTGTTCTTTTTTTTGTAATATATATATTTTGGTGTGCTGTAGAATTAAAAAAATTTTTTTCTTTATTGATTTGAAAGAAGAAGGGAGAGAAAGAGAGAAACATCAATGAGCAAGAACATCGATTGGCCGCCTCCTGCATGCCCCCCACTGGGGATCAAGCCCACAACCTGGTCATGTGCCCTGAACAGGAATCAAACCGGTGACCTCTTGGTGCCTGGGTCGACGCTCAACCCGAGCCACACTGGTCGGGCTTACTTTTTTTTTTTTTTTAATTTGTTTTTGTTACTTACTTGTCTCTTTTATTGTAGCCATCCTAGTGAGCATGCAGGGGTACCTGACCGTGGTTTTGATTTGAGTTGCCCCAGTGAATGCTACAGTCAGGCAGTCTGACGGCAGAGTACCCTGCCTGTCCTTAACTACCTGCTCGCCAGGTGGAGGTGCTTTGGTTAGTGCCCCAGGGGCCTTGACTTTGAGTCCTGGCCCAGTCGCAGTCCTTAGCTGTTCTGGGTGACCCTAAGCAAGTGCTGTGCCCTTTTTGTGCCACTGTTTCCCTGTTTGTTCAGTGGGCCACCTCCCAGGATAGTCTCATGGCTTCGACCGGAAACTCTGAACATACAGCCCTTCTCTCTTTTTCCTTCTTTCCCCAAGGATGCCAGTGGGGGTGACTCCTGCACCTCTGAGGACGAACCGACCTTTGACCCCGGCTATGAACCTGACTGGGCTGTCATCAGCACTGTGCGGCCACGGCCTCGCCACTCAGAACCCACAAGAGGTAGGCTGACCTGGTACCCCTGGGAGGCAGGTGGTAATACATCTTATCCTCAGTGGTCATGGCCCCATGGGCTTCACTGCCCACAGGCAAGATGGCCGCCAACACTGGCCTTTTAGTCCAAGGAGAGTGGATGGGGGTGCAGACTGTCCCCAGCTTAGGTCCAGCGAGGCCAGTGTCTCCAGGGCTTGCAGCCTCGCTTTCTGCCAGGCTCCCTGACTGGCTGTGGGCACCCCTGTGTGAGTCCAGGCTGTGAGAGCAATAATTACAGAGTGACAGGTTCATTCAGGCTATCTTGGCGTGTCACCGGGTGTTCGGGGCACCAGGGGAGGCAGCTGATCTCTCTCGGTGTGGAGAAGCCTTCCAGGTAGAGGTAGTGCAGAGCCTGGCTCTGAGGGACAGGTGGCGTGGGGCACTGGCCTTTCATTATGGCTCCAGTGTGGTGTCTGGAGTGCAGAGAGGGTTGGAGGTGACGTGGGCAGGGGCAGACCTGAGGAGTCGGTCTATGTCCTGAGGGCCACAGGGAGCCGATTTTGCAGCAGGCGTGTGTCCACCGGACTGGGCTCCGTTCCCATTTTATTCATTTGTGTTTCCATGGAAATATGAGGTGACCCAGAACTCCCAGAGGGGCGGAGCCTAGGGCTGGCTCATGGGCTCCTAGGACATGACTGTGCCCCTCTGGCTTCCCATGCCTCTCCTGACATGGTACCGTCCCCCAGGTGCGGAGCCCAGCTGCCCCCGGGACTCCTGGGCCTTCTCGGTGAGCCTGGGGGAGCTCAAGTCCATCCGCCGGTCCAAGCCGGGCCTCAGCTGGGCCTACCTGGTCCTGGTGACCCAGGCCGGAGGCTCCCTGCCCGCCCTGCACTTCCACCGTGGGGGCACCCGCGCCCTGCTCCGTGTCCTCAGCCGCTACCTGTTGTTGGCCAGGTGAGCGTCCCCCCAGTACCAGGCCTGTGCCGGGCACCGTCTCCACAGCCGCAGCTGGCCCCTCAGGGCTGAGAGAGAAACAGCTCAGACTGATCCACAGGCAGGAAAAGGGGATTGACTGGCATGTGTAACCGAAAAGGCAAAGGGTAGTTTGGTTTCAGGCAGGCCCGCATCCCAGGGTGTTGGAAGGAGTCTGTCTGCTTCCCACTGAGATTCTGTCCTGCTCGGGGCCCCAGCAGCCCTGCTCAGCAGCGCCGATGGACGTGTGGACGGAAAGCACCTCTTCCCTCACCTTCCAACAGCATCCCCGCTGCTGCCTCCCGCCGGCGTCCCTGAGTCAGTCCCTGGCCGGGCGGGGAGGCGGGAGGCCCTCATTGGCCAGCCCTGGGGTCGCTGTGGTCCCAGGCCCCAGATGAGGGATTCCCCAGGCCAGTCCAGACCCTGCCTCTGGGAGGAGGAGGGAACAAATGCGGGGCCCTCTACCTGGGTGTCATCAAACCATCTCCCCCAGCTCCCCACAGGACTCCCGCCTCTACCTCGTCTTCCCCCACGACTCCTCCGCCCTCTCCAACTCCTTCCACCACCTCCAGCTCTTTGACCAGGACAGCTCCAACGTGGTGTCTGTGAGTCTCCAGCGCCCGGCCCAGCGGCTGTGGGCAGGAAGGGGGGCGACACAGGAAGGGGCGGGCGGAGCTGTGACCGGCCCTCTGCCCCGTCCCCAGCGCTTCCTCCAGGACCCCTACTCCACCACCTTCAGCAGCTTCTCCCGCGTGACCAACTTCTTCCGGGGAGCCTTGCAGCCACACCCAGAGGGGACGTCCCCCGACCTTCATCCAGCCCCCGATGATGAGCCCGAGCCTGGGTTCGAGGTCATTTCCTGTGTGAGTATCGGGGCGGACCCCATTACTTTGGGCTGTCACCTTGGGCAGGTGACTGCGTTTCACAGTGCCTCAGTTTCCTCCCCAGAAAAGTGGGGATAATCATGGCACCACCCTCGTCGGGTGGCAGGAGTGACTGCAGAATGCTTACAGTCTGTGCTCCTGGTGCTTGTTATTGGGGGGCCCCTCCAGACTTGGGGGCGACTTTGTCACTGACCCAGGGAGGGAGTTGCTTCCCACCCTGACTGGTAGCTGTCTGTTGAGCTAAGAAGGGCTGAAGGATCTGAAGGTGGCCTGGGATGGGGTCGGGAAGGGATGTGGGGTCGCCCACAGACAGGGCCCACTTGCCTTGTGTCTCGCAGGTGGAGCTGGGTCCTCGGCCGGCTGTGGAGCGCGCGCCTCCAGTCACAGAGGAGGAGTGGGCCCGCCACCTGGGCCCCGAGGGCCGCCTGCGGCAGGTCCCCGAGCTGAGAGCCCGGATCTTCTCAGGAGTGAGTCACTGGGTTTGTGGGGCTGGGCTAGGCCGGCAGGTGGCCAGGGGCCCCCTCTGAGCCGCCTGCCCGCTCCACCCCCAGGGTCTGAGCCCCAGCCTGAGGCGAGAGGCCTGGAAGTTCCTCCTGGGGTACCTCAGCTGGGAGGGCTCAGCGGAGGAGCACAAGGCCCACGTGCGCAAGAAAACGTGAGTCTCCGGCCTCTGACTTCCCAGCCTCCCGCGCTATTGGAGGTGTTATTTTTGTTTTTAAATTCTCACTCAAGGATATTTTTCTATTTATCTTCAGATAGAGTGGGAGGGAGGAAGAGAGAGGGGGAGAGAGAGAGAAACATCAACGTGAGAGGGACACATGCACTGGTTGCCTCCCGCACGACCCTGACCAGGGCCAGGGACAAACCGCACCCGAGGGACGTTCCCTTGACCGGAAGGAATCAAACCCACGGTTCATTGGTCTGCAGGGCCACTGCTCTAGTGCCCTGACGATGCAGGCGCGTGCGCACGCGCACGTTTGCTCCCAGAGTCGGTTGTGAGCCTGTCACGTGCTGGGCACCACCTGTGCACGAGGCCGATGCAGGCGAATGGGCCGGGCCCGTCCCTGCTCCCGAGCTGCTCACCCTGGAGCCACCCAGCTTCAGTGATCGCTGCTTTGCTTCCTAAACGTGGGCCACCTCTCCCCACTCCTCGTGTCCATCATGCCCCTGCTGTGCGTCCTGGTCCCCACAGCCAGTGGCGGTGGCAGACTTTTAACAAAAGCTCACTGGATGTGAGATGTTGCGGGGAGCGTGGGGACCCGCTTGGGTCTGTGTGGTCAGGGAGGGGCCCAGAGGCAGTGACCTGGCTGAGCCCTGAAGACGGAGCAGGTGGCAGGGTGCCCTCATGTCAGCCTCTCCCGCCCTCAGGGACGAGTATTTCCGAATGAAGCTGCAGTGGAAATCGGTGAGCCCCGAGCAAGAGCGGAGGAACTCACTGCTGCACGGATACCGCAGTCTCATAGGTGGGTGGGGGGGGGGGGTGAGCCGCCGGGAGAGGCCAAGGGCTGGACGGGGAGGGAGGGAGGAGAGCCAGGACCTTGGGTTTAAATCCCAGCTCTGCTCTACTCACCATGAGATCCTGGCCAGTTTTTTATCCCTGGGCCTCAGTTTCCCCGTCCGCGGATGGTTGGTAACCGTTGGTGCTAGGAGGGTGTGGCGAGTGGGAAGCAGAGCGCCTCACTCTGGTGTGCAGATGGGTTGGGGACCCGCCCAGTCCTGCTGGGGTCCGCCAGCGAAGCCACACAGTTTCAGTGATTGCTGCTGGATGGGGGGATGGGGCCAGCGGGATGGGGCCCCACTTCACCTTTCTCACGTGTGCACCGTGTCCCCACAGAGAGAGACGTGAGCCGCACGGACAGGACCAACAAGTTCTATGAGGGTCCCGAGAACCCGGGGCTGGGCCTGCTGAATGACATCCTCCTCACCTACTGCATGTACCACTTCGACCTCGGTGGGTGCTGCAGGAAGGGCAGGGCCTGCCCCTGGGGTGCTGAGGGCCTAGGCCAGGCCCTGACCTCGTGTCCCCACAGGCTACGTCCAGGGCATGAGTGACCTTCTCTCTCCAATCCTCTACGTCGTTCAGAACGAGGTGGATGCCTTCTGGTGTTTCTGTGGCTTCATGGAGCTTGTGGTGAGGCTCCCGGCAGGGGTGGGATGCAGCCCCTTCGAAGGACTGGGTGCAGCCCCTCACGCGGCCCTTCCCCCACAGCATGGGAACTTCGAGGAGAGTCAGGAGACCATGAAGCGGCAGCTCGGGCAGCTCCTGCTGCTCCTCCGGGTGCTGGACCCGCCGCTTTGTGACTTCTTGGGTATGTCTTGGTGGGTGGGCAGGGGACAGCAGGGCCACAGACGTTGCCAAAGTTTCTGGGAATGAGCGGCCACAGATGGTGTCCAGGACATTTGGTTCTGATCCAAATAAAACATCCGGCCGAACCCAGAACTTACCTGTAGAAAGCAGGGTTGCAGCTTGGAGCAAAACGTCAGCAAATGCAGGTGTGCGCTGCCGTCCGCCTGCCTGGCCCCAGCTGCTCCCGCTGCCGCCTTCAGTGTCTGACTCTGGATGAACCCGAGCCAGGGATTGGAAACTGCTTCTCTGGACTCCTGGCGCCGGGACTGCTGCATTCTGGCCTTAAAATGTTTATTACTGCCCTGGCTGGTTTGGCTCAGCGGTTAGAGCGTCGGCCTGCGGTCCAGAGAGACCCGGGTTCGGTTCCCGCGAAGGGCACGTACCTCGGTTGCAGTTTGTCCCCGGCCCTGGTTGGTCGTGCGGGTGGCAGCCACTCTCTGTGTCGCTTCCACGTCGATGTTTCTCTCTCTCTCTCCCTCCCACTCTATCTGAACAAAAAATGGGAAAAAATGTCCTCGGGTGAGGATAAAAAAAAAAATGTTTATTCCTTGTTCAGTGTAAAAAATGCAGGAAATTCAGATAAAGGGAAGAAAGTAGAAGTTACTGTTGATAATAGTATTCTTTTGCGTGCAGGTGATAAGTCAGCTTACTTATGGGTATTTCTTCCCTGAAATGTAGGCCCACCCTGGGGAAGGGAGACACACTGGCCTCACCTCACTGGGCGGAAACGAAGGCCTATAAGGCTTACGCCAGTTCTAGGGGCACTTGGACATTTAGCTGCCTCTATGTTACTAAAAGTTTTTCATATTTTTAAAGGTTTTTATTTTTAGAGAGGAAGGGAGAGGGAGAGAGCGAGAAACATCAGTGTGAGAGCAAAATATCAGTCGGCTGCCTCCTGCATGTCCCCTGCCAGGGATCGAGCCTGCAACCCAGGCATGTGCCCCGACCGGGAATCACACCGGCAACCTTTCTGTGCACGGGACAGTGCCCAGCCAACTGAGCCACACTGGCCAGGGCCATTCAAATATTTTTAAACCATCACTGTTACTGACCGCACAGCATGCTCTCCATCTTAACGATGTACAGGAATGACCTGCTGGACATTTAGGTTATTTGCAGGGTTTTTATTTAGCTGTCGTTGTTCATCCTCATCTGAGGATACTTTTCCATTATTTTTAGATAGAGTGAAAAGGCAGGAGGGAGGGAGGGAGAGATATTGATGTGAGAAAGACCATTGATTGGTTGCCTCCCACATGACCCCAACCTGGGCTGGGGATCAAACCTGCAACGCAGGCACATGCCCTTGACCAGGAATCAAATCCGTGATCCTTAGGTCCATGGGCCAACACTCTAACCACTGAGCTAAACTGGCCAGGGCTATTTTACAGTTTTTCATCGTGATGAATATAGTTTGGGCACTTTTTTTTTTTTCTTTTCGTGGTACGTACCCCTAGCGAGAACTGAACCTGGGACTCTCTGGTCCGCAGGTCGACACTCAACCGCTGAGCCAAACTGGCCAGGGCTTGGGCAATTTCTTTAAGTCAAATTTTCAAAAGTGAAATTGTATCCAGGGCAGTCCATATCTTTACAGCTTTTGGACTGTCATCCCCATCGCTGCTTTGCTGGGAGGTTACACCACCTCCCGTGTTTGCTCAGCGTCCTCACGCCTCCGCCAGCGCGGGTCTCACCGCCTCCCTCCACCGGAGAGCGGGAAGCGGGCGGCCCGCCTTGTCCGGGGTTGGGAAGGCAGGGTGGGAAAGGTTCCTGCTGAACAGAGCACTCCTGTCTCAGCTCAGGCCTTCCCACGCTGGGCATGAGTTACTTGCCTCGACTGGTGGAGGGTCCGGTCTTAGCCAGGGGGGCTTAGTCTCAGTCCGACCACGGGGCACACTGGATTAGAATGGGGTGGGCACTGATTGTGTTTGCTCTTCGCTTAGCACCGTCCTACCCCCGCTGTCCTCCTCTAGACTCCCAGGACTCTGGCTCTCTCTGCTTCTGCTTCCGGTGGCTGCTCATCTGGTTCAAGAGGGAATTCCCCTTCCCGGATGTCCTTCGGCTGTGGGAGGTGGGCCGGCCAGCTTGGGTGGGAGGCATGCGGGCGGTGGGCAGGGGCCGACCAGGGTGGGAACTCAGGCAGAGGCTGGGCTGTGACCCCCTCCTTCCGGCACTCTTAGGTGCTGTGGACAGGGCTTCCGGGCCCCAACCTGCACCTGCTGGTGGCCTGCGCTATCCTGGACATGGAACGGGACACCCTCATGCTTTCGGGCTTCGGCTCCAATGAGATCCTCAAGGTGACACCCTGACCCCTTCTGGTCCCCACCTTTTCCCTGCCCATCCCGACCTGTGCAGGGAGAACACAGTAGCTGGGTGTGAACTCCTTCGTGGCGGCTGGCACAGTACTTGGCTGGCACAGTACTTGGCCGTAGGGGGTCCTCAGAATAGGATTGTTGAAAGTGGTTAGCTCTGAGCACAGCAGCAGAGAGAAGCTGTTTCTCCCCACACCATGCTATCCCTGGCTGCAGTAATGTCCTCACAGAGCATGTGGTCTGTGCGTGGGTGGGCTCTCCCAGCACCTGAACTGGGGCTGGGCTGGGCGGGGCCGCGGGGGTGGAGCTCGGTGCTCTTTCCCTTCCTGGCATCCTGCGCCTGGCAAGCAGCCTGGGAGAGCTGACCTCCCCTAACCTCCCCACCCCACTGTGAGCCCAAGAGGGCCCGCCCGGCCTGTCTCCCTTCCATTGTGTGGCACAGACGAGGCGCTGCGGAGGCGGAGGTGGAGTGCCTCGGGGCAGGCAGGCCTGACTCTCCCGCTCCCGCAGCACATCAATGAGCTGACCATGAAGCTGAGTGTGGAGGACATACTGACGCGCGCCGAGGCCCTCTACCGGCAGCTGACCGCCTGCGCGGTGAGTCCCCCACCTTCCCAACAGCCTCCCTCCCGACCCCTCAAACCTCTGACTTGGCTTCCCACTCCCCAACCCTCCAGGAGCTACCCCACAACGTGCAGGAGGTCCTGGGCCTGGCCCTGCCTGCAGAGCCCCGCAGCCCCTCGCCTCCTGCCTCTCCACTGCCGCTGTCGCCCACCCGGGCCCCACAGGCCGCCCCACTCCCCCCAGACACAGCCCCGCAGCCGGACAGCAGCCTGGAGATCCTGCCAGAGGAAGAGGAGGAGGAAGGTGCGGACTCCTAAGTCGCTGGGCTGGCGGCAGCCTGCCCCGCACAGCACTTTATCCAGCTCCGGCCCCACCACCACACCCTGGAGGCTGGGGGTGGAGCAAGCGAAGGGGGCGGGGCTCCTCCTGATTAGCTGGTTTCATTAACTGACATTGCTCGCGTCCCGTTGGCCTCCTGTAGGCTACGAAGGAGGCTGCCTCGTTGCCTTGAACCTGAATGGGGAGGGGGTGGTACGAGGTCCTCGCTGACCACTCTGCAGAGCAGGTATCTGACCATGACCCAACCCGGCCTATGAGACTTAAAAGGAGGTCCCTTGGGGATGAGTGGTGGAGGCAGGTCTCGCTTAACTACCTGAGTTTGGGACTTTTGGGGGAGTGAGGATGGGATGTTGGGTACGGCCTCCACCTAACAGTTGTGTAGGGACACATCCTGGACATAACCTAGAGAAAGAGCCTACAGAGCTGCTCGGACACTCTGAGGACCCTGCCTACCAACTTTGTGTTACTTGAGAAAAATAAACTCGTGTTTAATCCAGTCAGTGGGGCTTTGTTATTTGTATCAGGCCCCATCCACGTCGTGACAGTCGGGGCGGGCACTGTGGTTACCATTAACCGGTGGTGCAAGGCAGAGTCTGTCCTCACCCAATCAAGTACCGCTGCCCACGCAGAAGTAGGACAGCTTCTGGGGCTCCAGGATAGGCACAGCCCCCCCCCCGCCCCCCGCCAGTGCTGGTGGCTCTGTTCCGCACAAACGGGGAAGCCCTGAGCCAGGGAAGGGGGTGGACCACAAGGCTTTTTCCTAAAATACTTTAATACTAAGTGGTCGTCTGGCTGGTCACGTTAGGAGTGGTTAGCATAGACAGGGTTGAAGGGTGGGTGGACCCGCCCTTTTCAGATTTGCACGGGGGCTGGCAGTCCGCAGATGTCGACGCAGGTGTGGACGCAGGTGTCGACACCATGGGCCCGGGCTCCTCCATGTGCAGAGCCTTCTCCTGGCTGCTGATCGGGCCCTGGCCCCGGCTGTTGATCGACATCGCGGCACGCAGCGCCGACTTGACGGCCGTCTCCACCCAGCCATGCGGGTACGCGGTGTGCTCCCCAGCGAAGTAGATGCGACCCTGGGGGACCGTCCAGTCGAACTCGCCGCCGTCCTTTTGCCAAAGCGTGGGCGGCTGCAGCACGAAGCCGCCCTGGCTGTGCGGATCCTCCGCCCAGCGTTTGACAGCGCCGGTGCCGTCCCAGAGCCGGTACACTACCGGCCCGTGCAGTGCCGCCACGTCGTCCAGCGCCAAGCGCAGCGTGTCATCTAAGCTTAGGCCAGCGAATGTGGCCGACGCGTCCGACCACGTGTAGGAGGCCAGCAGCAGCGCACCCTCGCCCGGGGGCGGGTAGAATATCTCGCGCGACGGGCGGTCGGTGTTCGAGTGGCCCCCCAGGATGTGCTCCTCGTGCCAGAAGGCCCGGCGGAAGCTCAGGTACACCTTGGTGGCCTGCACGTAGTGCAGCTCCTTCAGCGCCTCCTGCAACGGGCGCGTCAGCGGCGGTGAGAATTTCATGCGCTGCAGCGCCGGGCCGCTCGCGGTCAGCAGCACCACGTCGGCGTCCATGGTCTTCTGATTCCGGGCCCGGTGCGCGCTCCCTATGTGCACGCGCACCTCCGCCTCCGGCTCCTGGGTTATCGCCCCGACAGGAGTGTGCAGCAGCACGGGCACCGACAGCGAGCTCAGCAGCGCGCGCGGCAGCAGGTCCCAGCCGCCCACGATGCGGCTGTGCCTGTGGGGTGGCGGGCAGGACCGTGACCGGGGCTCTCCGGCCCTGCTCCTTCCTGCCGGCCTTCCTGCGCACTCCTGGGTACCTGTTCTCGGTTTCACCTCCCAGAACCCTCTAATCTCACTCTACTCCCGGCCCATACTTGACACCTGCTGGCTCCCGGGGAGCCCACCCGCACTCATCCACCACTGCCTGAAGTCCCGAGGGCGGGGAAGCCGAGAATCATGTGACCCAGGAACACCACCTCTTCTATTCTGGACCTGCCCTTCTTCAAGAACCTTTCTTACCCATTACCTCCAGACAACACCGAATGTGGGGGCAAGTGTGGCCAGACCCGGGCATCCTGTCTCTCCTCCCCTTGGGCCCCTTCTCTCTACAAGCTGGCCCTTCTCAATAGCCCCTGCCTGCCTGCCCCATGCTGGTGGCCCCCACCACTCTGTTACTCCCACCATTGGCCCTGCAGGCCCCGCCCCTCACCGTTGTCGATCACTGAGGCCACTGTGGGCTCGCAGAGCCTCTGCGAAGCTGAGATAGAAGAAGCCTTCCTTGGACATCACGTCTCCCAGGAGATGCATGGCAGCCTGGCTCAGGTTCCCCTCCTTCAGGAGGTATTCCTGGGGGACAGGCGCAGGCTGGGGTCAGAGCCCAGGCAAGTTGCACCTGCCAGTTCCATCCCCACTCCTGCCGGGACCCTCCCCAGTGGAGCCTCCCCGTTACCTGACACCACAAAGAGCTTGGTAGGTTCCCTGGACCTTAGCGATCGGTCCCCCTCATCTTGTGACAGATAAGAAAACTGAAGCCCAGAGAGGGGGCATGTCCAGCCCCATGGTCAGGCAGGGAGGCCGTGTCAGCCCTGGGTCCCAGGTTCCTGCCCTCTGACTCTAGGACCAAAGCCCACGGCACCCTCCCAGGCCTGGTTTCAGACAGGGACACCGAGACCCCCACTCACCAGGAGCGTCTGCTTCTCAAACTTCCTTATCGCCTTTCTGCAGCCCAATGTCTTGAGGTCGCTGAGGGCCTGCAGTGGAACAAGCAGACAGCGCTGAGCTGCAGGGCAGGATGGTAGAGCCGGGCCTGGGGTTCAAGTCTGGGTGCTCTTCCTGCTCCTGCCCATGGCTGGCCATTTACCACCTTTGCCGATGCTGTGCCCTGGGCCTTGCCCTCCACTGCTACTCAGATGTCACCGCTCCGGGAAGTCTTCCTGAGTCGTTAATGCCCACCCCCCGGCACACCTGGGCACGGAAATGCTCATCCCAGTCTGCGCTATTTGGCCTGTGTGTCCTAGGCTGTGAGCATGCTGGTGCAGGCAGGGACTGTGTCTGTGTCAGTGCTGCGTCATTCTGGTGCCCAGTAACTATCACCTGGATCATTGTGGGCACAGACGAAAGCAGAGTTCCCTCCCTGCCCATAGCCCTCCTCAGATGGCTCCCTGGCACCTGGAGCCACAGAGTTCTAGCCCCTCAGCCTGGCATCCGAGCCCCTGCCAGCCTCTCGGTCACCATCTCTTAAGGAAGCTCCAGTTCTAAGGACAATATCCTGTGCCCAGAGCACCCTCAGCTCTGCCACCCTGCACTTGTTCCCCTGGCTAATCCAGCACACCGGTGGCCATCCTCACTGCCTGTCCACCTGGCTTCCCCTAGTGGCCGCGGAGCTCCCTGAAGGATGTGCCCTTCACTGGCTCGCTCACCGTTCACCTCGTTTCCCTCGGCTCCCTAAACTGGGCAGCGCCAACACAGAAATGGCCTGAACTCGGCACCACCCTTGTCCAGAAGGGGAGAGGGACCATTAGGAGCTGCCAGAGAAGGGGGAGGTCAGCTCCTCCCTGAGGGCATCAGGGAAGGCTTCCCGCAGGAGGGGACTTTGGAGCTGGTTCTTGAGGGATGGACAGGGTTCTCTGGGTGGGAAGGGAAAGGGTCTTCCAGGCAGGGCAGAAAGGATCTAGGGGAGAGGATGAAGCCTGAGTTGGGGTTGGGGCTGTGGGGACAAAGAGGTGGGAACAGTGCAAAAGAGTCAGGGAAAGGCCCTGGCTGGTTTGGCTCAGCAGTTAGAGCGTCAGCCTGCGGACCAGAGTCTCGGGTTCGATTCCGGTCAGGGGCATATACTTAGGTTGCAGTTGAGTCCCCGGCCCTGGTTGGGGTCCTGCGGGAGGCAACCAATCGATGTCTCACATCGATGTTTCTCTCTCTCCCTCCCTCCCACTCTATCTGAAGATAAATGGAAAAATATCCTCAGGTGAGGATTAAAAAGAAAGAGTGAAAGGGTGGGGCGGGGCAGGCAGTGAGGATAGCACTCAGAGTCGGCCTCGTGTCTGGGAGCGACAGGGCTGGGCGAGTAGGGAAGCCGGGAGCATGAGGGTTTAGGGGAAGACACAGCTCAGTGTCGGGGTCCTGGGGATGGCCAGGGGTAGGTGGATGTAGGTGTGGGTCTCAGGAGATGAATTTGGAAGACATCCGCCTGCAGATCAAAGTTGAAGCCAAAGATGTAGAAAGGTGAGGTTGTCCAGGACAGTGTGGGTGGCACGGGGATCAGAGACAAGGCTGACAGGGCTCTGGGGACTGGCAGAGGTCACGGGAAAACTACAGATGGAGTTGGCGGCGCTGGAAGGCCAGAAGGCGTGCGGGAGAGGAGAAAATCCCGGCCAGAGGGAAGAAGGGGCGAGGGGCAGGCGGGTGCGCCACCTTGTTGAGAGCCATCTGGTAGATGTCCTCAGGCGCGTGGCCCCTCTCCTCGGGGTACAGATCGTAGCCCAGCTTCTCCGGCATCTTCTCCACCACGTAGTTCCGCAGCTTCACGTCGCCCACTTGGGTCCACGCGTTCTCGTCGTACTGGATGAATTCGGTCAGGTTGAGCCCCAGGCTCTTGCAGAGCTCATGCAGGATCCTGCGGGAGCAGGCAAGGCTGGGAGGGTCCGGCAGGGGGGCGGGGCTCCCTGTCCCCACGGGGCTTGAAGAAGGGAAGGGAGCGGGTAGGGCAGCGGGGGATGGGGTTTGAGGATGGGCGTGAGACTGGAGTGGGGCTAGGTGTGGGGTCATCAGTGCTGGAGACAGGAATGAAATGGGGACAAGGTTGGAGGGCCAAGGGTAGTCCGGGTGTAGGGTTGGGCTGGGAGTGCGAGTTGGCTTTTGCTGGGGTTGGATGGAGGCTTGGGACAGAGAAGAGACCAGGTCAGGGGAGGCAGAGCTGGGGATCCAGAGGCGCTGGGTGGGGCTAGCTAGGGGTCCAGCTGGACTTGGTGGCTTGAGCACTTCAGGGGTGCAGTGGTGGGGCTGGGATTGGGGAAAGAACAGAGTTGGAGGCTGGGTCTCTGGTTGAGGCTGGTGCCAGGTCAGGCCTTACTTGTGCGAGGAGGGCATGCGCATGGCCCCCAGCTCCCCAATCCAGCCTGTCTTCTCATCCCGGTAGGTGAGGACGCGGCCCCCAATCCTGTTGTCTGCCTCTAGGATGGTGACCTGAGGGAGGGGGACATCGAGCAGGGCCCCTCAGCTCCTCCCACTGACCCCATCCTCCCATGCCAGCCCCCCAAGTTCCATCCCCACAGCAGCATAGACCGAAACTAGACAGGGGTCCCTTCCTCTGTGAGGAGTGGCCGGTGGGAGAACAGAGAGTCGCAGGGAGCATGCGCAGTATGAAAATGTCCACATGGCCACAGGAAGGCTGCCGCCCAGATGAGAGGGATTTCCCAGCGCAGGGAGGGGGGAATTCCTCATATGCGCAGAAATCCCTGGCCGGGTCCAATTCTCATTCTTGGGTTTCAGTGAGAAGGGCCGTGGTTAGACCTCAGGGGGGCACTTCCCCTTGGGCAGAGTGTCCATCTCCACCAACACAAATTCCCTCCGAAAGCTCAGAGGTTTCCGGGGACTGCTTCTGGGATGGGAGTGGGACGCAGTCAAAGGCCTCTCGGTGCACCATGCACTCCCTCTGGGAGCAGGAGCTCCAGGCCTCCCTCCCAGACCACAAGGAAAGCTCCCTCTCCCCACCATTCCCACCCCTCCACAGGCATGCAGCCAGGTCCCTCCAGCTGCAGCAGGAAAGACTCAAAGTAGACTGCAAGCAGCACTTCTCACCTTGTGTCCGGCATCGCTAAGCACCTTGGCGGCCACCAGCCCAGCCACACCAGCACCAACCACAATCACCCTCTGGGGATGTAATGTCCGGTTGAGGCCCAAGGTCACAACCTTGAGCAGCTGTTCATAATCAGGATCCTGCATACACTTCTCAAAGGGGTCCTGGCTGTAGACAGTCTTCCATTCTAGGGAGGCCACCAGGCCAAGGAGGATGGGGACCAGGGCCAGGAGGCGCCAGGCTGGGGAGGAGGACATGGTCAGTGGGTATGTGGGGGAAGAACAGGTTCTGCCCCTCACCTCCCATGTGCCCCTCCTCTGCTTACTTACCCAACAAGGGCGTCATGACTCTCACTGGGAGGTAGAGTCTGGGTTGGTAGGGAAGCAAGGGCCACTGTGACAGAGGACTGGGTTCCACCCCAGCGTGGCTCCCTGTGGGCCACCCAGCTCCCACCTCAGCCCTCCCCGCTATGCTCCCCACTCTCTCTGGACACGTGTTCCCTGATCCTGGTCCCACAGTCTCCTGCTCTGGGCTCGCCTGCCTGTCTGCCCTCCTCTCCCCTCCCTGCACCCCTTCCCCAGCTCTGCCTCCTTGTCTCTCTTCTCTAATCCCCTTTTCTCACCTCCTCCCAGTCTGTCCGTCTCTCCTCTGTGCCTTGGCTGTCTGAGGACAGGAGCACTGCCTGTCTGCTCTGTCCCCTCTGCTTGTCTGTGGGGTTTCCCTCCGGGGGCCCTTAAACCAGCTGAGCCCCGCCCTCCCCTCCCTTTTGGAAAGAGGAGGAAACGAAACTGCTTTCCTGGGTCCTGGGGTGAGGTGCTCAGGGTCTAACTGAGGCTGGAGAGGGGTGGCCGGTGGGGCAGGGGAGTCAGGAGGAAGCAAATCAGTCTGATTCCTTCCTCTTGCCCCAGATGGTTCTGGATAGTTGGAGGGAATAAAGGCTTAATTAACCATGCTAAGGGCCGGCTGCCCTGGACTGTCCCGGGAAACAGGGTCCCCGTGTCTGCCTTCTCCTGTGCTCTCTGCCTCCCTGACTCTCCGAAGGGGAGAAGGGGTCTCTGGCCTTGGGGCTGCATGTTCCCTGTGACAGCCTCTGAATCCCTCTCGGTGCCAGCCCTTGCTGTGCCCTGAATGGCACTCCCTGGCTCCCCACCCCTCCCACAGGGCTGTTCTGTACCCGCTGTCTCCCGCTCCGTGACATGGGTGCCACAGTGGACTCAGGCAGCAAGCGGCACAGTGGTTGGAGGCAGGGCCATGGGTATCTTCCACCCAGGGACTCTGTGCAAGGGACCCACCACTCTGTGACTCCGGTCTACAGTGTGTGACTCCAGTCTACTCGGAGGACCAGCTAGAGTCCAGGTCAGGCCCTGTGACCGACACCTGGGTCAGTACCAGAACCTGCTCCTCAGGAAATGCCGGCTGCCGCTGAGATGCTTGGAGGGACCTAGGTGAGTGCTCCTCACCCCTGGCTGCACAAGGGGCAGCCCAGGAGGCGTCTGCCCAGCCTCACCGTCCCCGCTAGAACACTGGAGGCTCCGTTCAGCCTCGGAGAAATGGCCCCATGAGCTCCTGCCTCTCTGCTTTTAGTTTCTGCTACCCCCACCTCTGGAGCACTGTTTTAATTTTAATTTTTTTCTTTCTTTCTTTTTAGAGAGGAAGGGAGAAGGAGAGAGAGAGAGAGAAAAACATCGATGAGAGAGAACATCGATTGGCCACCTCCTGCTTGCCCCCCAATGGGGATCGGGCCCACAACCTGGGCATGTGCCCTGACCAGGAATCGAACCAGTGACTCTTGGGGCATGGTTTGATGCTCAACCACTGAGCCACACTGGCCACACTGGGGCTGTTTTATCTTGAGGGGCGGGTGGCAGGCAATGAGAACAAGGTGACCCGGCTATGAGGAACTCTCACACGGTGTGTGGGGGGGGGTAGCAGAGGTCTCCTGGCTGTGGGGCTTTGTCAGGGGAAATATGGCGGGTACCCTGAAGTGGGTGGGGGTGGGGCGGCAATTCAGGGATTTTCCTGGGGTAGGAGGGGAGGGCTCCACGCTGCGGGGAGGAGGAAGGGCAGAGGCACGGATCCATGGCAGCAACAGGGCCAGAAAGTCCGAGCAGTAAATCACTGGGATGTGGTTTGATGGGGAGTTGCACAGAGTGAGTCAGAAAACATATGATGCGGGGGTGGGGAATGGGAGGCAGTGGCCAAGAAGGAAACAAAATCAGTGAGCTGCACAGAGCTCAGAGGACCAGCCAAAGCAAAAGGCACGAGCCAGTAAAACAGCAGCAAGAGGGACTATCCCCAGTGACACTCACTCTGAGGTGGCCTCAGCTCAGTGCTTTGCATGCACTGGGGCAGCACAAGGCTGCGTTTGACAGAGGAGGTACCGAGGCTCAGACATGGTGAACGGGTGGTCAGGGGAGACCGCGGGCCCGCGCCAGGCCTCCCCATGGCAGGCCCTGCCTGCTTCGCTCACGGTGACGGAGGGTGTGAGTGCCACCGGCTTAGACCTCACCCACAGTGCCAGCAGCTGTACCTCGAGCACATTCCCCTCCAATCCCAGACACTGTGAGGGAGGGGACCTGGCCTGCAGAGGGAAAGGCGCATATCCTGCCCGGGAATGGCAGGTGTCCCCTGCCCAGAGGTCCCCGTGCTTCATGGCAAAGCCCCACAGAGAAAGGAAGCAGAAAGGGCTGGAGGCAGCAGAGCCCAGGGGCTCCCAGGGCCTGTGCCAGGAGCAATGGTCCCCAGAGCGACTGGGGGGCCCTGCTGAGGTCCCTGAGAAGGCCCCCTGGTCACTCGCACACAGGATTGCTTTCCGAAGTCCCCCTGGCTCCAGGCGCGCCCAGCTAGGCTAGTCTGGGAAGAGGAGTGGAGTGCTGGCCTTCCCAACGCCCACCAAGGAGTCAGCAGGGGAGAGCGGGCCCGGCTGGACTCAAGCAGGCTGCCCAGAATCAGGAGCCAGCCTGGCACGAGAGTCCGGTCCTCCCAGCCTGATCAGCTTCCTTGCTGCTGATAAAATGACAACAGGTGCTGTTCAGTCCCATGTGCCAAATACTTCGGATCTTTTTTCTTTTTTAAATCTCAATCAACTGAGCCACACCGGCCAGAATGTGTCAGATACTTTTTTTTTTTTTTAAATAATTTTTCTGTATTGATTTTAGGGAGAAAGGAAGGGAGAGGGACAGATATCGATGAGAGAGAACATCGACTGGCCGCCTCCTGCATGCCCCCCACTGGGGATCAGGCTCACAACCTGGCATTTACTTTATACATTCGCCTTCCTTTACTCCAGGAACAACTTGACAAGGGGGCACGCAGTGTCCTCACTTAACAGTGTACAGAACGGAGGCCCAGAAAGTCACCTGCTAAGTGACTGAGCCTGGGTCTGTTTGTTTTTTTTCCCCCAGATAGAGTGGGAGGAGAGAAACATCGATGTGGAAGGGACACATCGAATGGCTGCCACCCACACGACCCAACCAGGGCCAGGGACAAACTGCAACCGAGGTACGTGCCCTTAGCAGGAACCGAACCTGGGTCTCTCTGGACCGCGGGCCGACGTTCTAACCGCTGAGCCAAACCGGCCAGGGCTGGGTTTGATCCCAAGAGCTTGGCTCTAGCCCTGTACTCAGCAACAAGCTGGGACTCCTGGACAAGGGGTGGGGCCAGGGCATGGTTCCCACCTGGGCACTATTGCCATGCAGGCCATGTTTGTGGGGGTTGCCCTGTTGGGTGTTGAGCAGCGCCACCGGTCTCTCCCCATTACGTGCCAGTAACATTCCCCGTCAAGCTGGGACAGCCACAGGTATCTCCAGACACTGCCAACTGTTTCTGGGGTTAGGTGGATGTTGGGTGGAACTCCCGAGTGACCCGATCTAGTCCAGGATGGAGACCTGGGTGCGGTGGGCAGGAAGGCCACATAACAAGAAGTTGTTTTGGGGACAGGAGATTGTGAGTCACTGGCGGAACTGCCTTCCAGAGCCATTCCGAGGAGATTGCTGTCAGGGTTAAGTTTCTGGTGTGGGTTAAGGTGGGATGGGTAAGACAACGCATTTGGGTCAGGTTAGGAGCTAGACACACTGAGAATGGGGGTGGGGCAGACGGGGCAAGGCCTGGGCTTCCCACCACATCAAGTATGTTTGTTTCAATTAATTTGGGGATAGTATGGCTTTATGATGTAGTTCCTAAAAAACAATGTAAATCCTTCCAGATAAAAACTGTCTTTCGGGCCCTGGCCGGTTTGGCTCAGCGGTTAGAGCGTCCGCCTGCGGTCCAGAGAGACCCAGGTTCGGTTCCCACTAAGGGCGAGTACCTCGGTTGCAGTTTGTCCCCGGCCCTGGTTGGTCGTGCGGGTGGCAGCCACTTGATGTGTCCCTTTCGCATCGATGTTTCTCTCTCTCTTTCTTCCTCTCTCTCCCTCCCACTCTATCTGTACAAAAAATGGAAAAATGTCCTCGGGTGAGGATAAAAAAAAAACAAAAAAAAAACTGTCTTTCGGGCCCTGGCTGGTGTTGCACAGTGGTTAGAGCATTGGGGGAAGACGAACCAAAAGGTCTTGGGTTTGATTCCTGGTCAACGGCATGTACCTGGGTTGCAGGTTCAATCCCTGGCTCTGGTCAGGGTACATGGGAGAGGCAACCAATTGATTTCTCTCTCTCCCTCCCTTCTTCCCTTCCACTATCTCTAAAAATCAATGAAAAAATATATCCTTGGGTGAGGATTAACAACAAAAAAGTCTTTAGGGAGAAAACCTTATTGTATAATTTGCTTCTATAACCCCAAAGACGATTCTAATGGGGGTTCAGATCAAGTGTGAAGCAGCCAGAGACCTGGCCCAGCCCCCTGGGGGCCTCTGTGGCCCGTCCCGGCAGCTAAAGTTGACGGTGGCCACACAGATGTGTGAGGGACAGGATGAGAGCCTTATGTGTATTTTTTTCTGAGTTAGCCCAAAGAACCCTGAATGGTCACTATTACAAGTTTCACCGAGTCTCAGAGAGAGGCAGAGCCTGCCCAGGGGTTGCCCAAGGCCCCAGGTAGAAGTCAGGGGTCCAGACCTGGATAGGGGAAGGGCAGAGAGGGCAAAGGGCAGACTTACTGATGCCCAGATCTCTGGCCAGACCCCTGGACATTGGCATCCTTCCCATGGAGCCCTCCTGCCCCCTCCTTCCCTTTCCAAAACCCCCAGGCCCGGGGTCGGGGGACACTCACTGCATGGCTGGCTCCGGGAGTCTCTCTCAGCATCCATGGCTCGTCAGCCTGGGGAAGAAGTCATCGTCAGGGTGAACAGTCGTGGCTTGGTCCCGATGCCCTGTTAGACCAGTGGTGCCAGTCCTGGTATGGGGTCAGAGTGGGTGTGATTGTGGAGGGCAATCAGACGCTTTTACGGACTTCAAACAAATATGAGAACCGAGGGCCTGGGACGAAGAGCCCAGGTGCATTCACTGCCTCATAGCCCATCTCGTTGCGTTTACATTTTCTCCCTCCCCCATCAAATTATTTTAAAGCAAATCCCAGATGTACGATTATTTTATAGTTAAATACTTCAAGATGTTTCCATAAAACAGGTGTTGGCCAACCTTTTAGTGTAAGTATTTGGGCCAATCTCCATTTCGTCTACTCAACTCTGCCCACAAGATAGAAAGAATAGGTGTGGCTGTGTTCCAAAAAAACTTTACTTAGGAACAGAACTGGGTGTCCTTTGCCAATCTGTGCTCTAAAAGATAAGAACTTACTTTGTAATAAAACTATAGCCTAGCCGATTTGGCTCAGGGGTTAGAGTGTCAGCCCATGGACTGGAAAGTCCCAGGTTCGGTTCCGGCTAAAGGCATGTACCTCGGTTGCAGTTTGTCCCCGGCCCCGGTTGGGGTCGTGTGGGTGGCAGCCACTCGCTGTGTCTCTCTCACATTGATGTGACTCTCTGTCTCTTCTTCCCTCTCCCCCTCCCGCTCTACCTGAAGATACATGCAAAAGTGTCCTCGGGTGAGGATTAAAAAAGCAAATAAAACGAAACTACAATACCATGATCCCATTTAAAATGGCACTAAATCAGTGTCCACATCTCCCTGAATGTCTCAAACATTTTTTTTTAACCTTTATTGTTGAATGTATTACAGATATTCCTCATTTTTTCCCCCATTGACCCCCTAACGCTCCCCTCCCATCCCCCTCCTGCCTTTTCCCACACTGTTGTCTGTTTCTATTGGTTATGCATATGTGCATATAATTTTTTTGGTTTATTTCTTCCCACCCTCCAACCCCCCTTCCCTTTGAGGTTTGTCAGTCTAGCAACCAATTTGTACTTCTTAATCCCTTCACTTATTTCGCCCATTTCCCCAACCCCCTCCCATCTGGCAACCAACAAAATGTTCTCTGTATCTATGAGAATGTTTCTGTTCTGCTTGTTCATTTTGTTTGTAGATTCGATTGTTGATAGCTATGTATTATTTTATTTTATTTATTTTATATTTTAATCTTTATTGTTGAATGTATTACAGATATTCCTCATTCCCCCTCCCCATTGACCTCCTCCTACCCACTCCCGCTCCCCTCCTACCTTTTCCCACACTGCTGTCTGTGTCCATTGGTTATACATATATGCATATAAGTTTTTTGGTTTATTTCTTCCCACCTTCCAAACCCCCCTTCCTTTTGAGGTTTGTCATTCTAGCAACCAATTTGTTCTTCTTAATCCCTCATTTTTTTCACCCATTCCTCCAACCCCCCTTCCATCTGGCAACCAAGAAATGTTCTCTGTATCTATGAGAATGTTTCTGTTCTGCCTGTTCATTTTGTTTGTAGACACCATTGTCGGTAGATATGTAATCATTGTCATTTTGTTTGTTCATATATTTTATCTTTTTCTTCAAAAAGACCCTTCAACATTTCATATAATAACGATTTGGGCCCTGGACGGTTTGGCTCAGCGCTTAGAGTGTCGGCCTGTGGTCTGGAGAGACCCGGGTTCGGTTCCCGCTAAGGGCATGTACCTCAGTTGCAGTTTGTCCCCGGCCCTGGTTGGGTTGTGTGCGTGGCAGCCACTCAATGTGTCCCTTTCACATCAATATTTCTCTCTGTCTCTCCCCCTCTCACTCTATCTGAACAAAATATCGAAAAATGTCCTCGGGTGAGGATTAAAAAAAAACAAAACAAAACGATTTGGTGGTGACGCACTCCTTTAACTTTTTCTTGTCTGGGAAAGTCTTTTGCTGCAGTCCAGCTGCAGCAGGATCCGGGGGCCCGAAGGTGGTAAGGCACGGCGCTGGGAGACGGATGACTACACGACTCAGAGGAAGTGTGACAGTTTTGGTTTATTGCAAATTTCTATGTGCTTACATACTTTCTTTTTTGGCATACATTTGACATTTGAGGTTAAAGAAGCAGGGAGTTACATTCCATAGTACCAGGATGTTAGTTTCATTTTTATCAGAATTAATTTATAGATACAAAGAAGGGAGTAGAGTAACCTGTGAGACAGTTTTCTATAGGCCCTCTGAGATTAATAGTTGACCTTTATTTAAAATGTAGTTCTGGGTTTTTAGATCAGCTAGTTTTTGTTTTACCTCCCTAACTAACTCAGGACATTTCTTATAAAACCTATTCAATTGCAATGATTGAGATTTCTTTTGTTCCTTTGTGCGTAAACACGAAGGGGGACCTTGGCGTGCCAATTGTTCCATGAAGGCAAGCTTTCATAAGGAACATGGAGTCTGTCTTTGTTAACTATTCTTATTCTACCTTCATTATATGCTCCTGTAAAGAGCAAGGGAGGGTCAGGTATCCTTTGTATACTTCTAGCCCCTCTAGGTGGGTACCGTAGTTTTCCTTTTATCCAATAACCTATATAAGGAAACCCTTCAGCAGTGGGTAGGGGTTGATACAATTTTCTTTTATTCTCTTGAAATACTTTCTATCTGGAGAGGAGGTACAGGAGTATAAGGTGCCTCCATTAGTTCTACCTGTCAATTCATCCATGAATTGTTTATTAGGGACTTTCAGGGAAAATTTTTTACCTAATTGAATTAGTAAATTATTAAGACAGTCTGGACATGCAGTGGTGACTGTTTCAGGGGAAGCTGGAGTTTCTTCAGAAATTAATTGAAGAGGCATGATTTCAGATACCTTGTTTGTTACTCCCAGGATAGTCATACAGTAGAATAATAATTGTTACAATTCCTGTAATACCCTTTAGTCCCACCCCCATGCTACGTCCTCTTCCTAGAAGATGCGTTCCTTGAAGCTTTCTTCTCCATATCCGGACTCTGTCAAACAATATGGTTGGAAGAGGATGTGGCACTCTTTATATGGCCATCAATTCTAAATGACAGCTTTGCAGGATAGAGTAACCTTGGTTGTAGGTTCTTGCTTTTCATCACTCTGAATATTTACCATTCCCTTCTGGCCTGCAAAGTTTCTTTTGAGAAATCAGCTGACAGTCTTATGGCAACGCCCTTGTAGGTAACTAACTGCTTTTCTCTTGCTGCTTTTAAGATTCTTTGTCTTTTTTTTTTATTTATTTTTTATCCTCACTCGAGGACATTTTTCCATTTTTTGTACAGATAGAGTGGGAGGGAGAGAGAGGAAGGGAGAGAGAGAGAGAAACATCGACTGAAGGGACACATCGAGTGGCTGCCACCCGCACGACCAACCAGGGCTGGGGACAAACTGCAACCGAAGTACGTGCCCTTAGTGGGAACCGAACCCGGGTCTCTACGGACTGCAGGCCGACGCTCTAACCGCTGAGCCAAACTGGCCAGGCAAGATTCTTTGTCTTGAACCTTTTGCATTTTGATGATGATGTGTCTTGGTGTGGGCCTCTTGGGGTTCATCTTGTTTGGGACTCTCTGTGCTTCCTGGACTTGTATGTCTGTTTTCTTCACCAAGTTAGGGAAGTTTTCTGCTATTATTGTTTCAAATAGGTTTTCGATTTCTTGTTCTCTCTCTTCTTCTGGCACCCCCAAGATGCATATGTTGGCACGCTTGAAGTTGTCCCAGAGGCTCCTTACACTATCCTCATTTTTTCTTTTTGCTGTTCTGATTGGATGTTTTTTGCTTCCTTATATTCCAAATCGATGGTTTGCTTCTTGGCTTTACCTACTCTACTACTGAATCTGTGTAAATTACTCATTTCAGTTAGTGCCTCCTTCATTTCTGACTGGTACTTTTTTATGCTCTTGAGGCCCTCACTAAGTTCATTGAGTATCCTTATAAGCACTATTTTGAACTCAGCATGTTAGGTTGCTTATCTCCATTTCACTTAGTTCTTTTCCTAGAGATTTTTTCTGTTCTTTCATTTGGGACCTGTTTCTTTGTCTCCTCATTTTGGCTGCCTCCCTGTTTGTTTCTGTGTATTACTTAATGGGAGGTATGGGGCTGAGGCCAGATGCTGCTCGTTTGAAAGAATTTAGGAAAACCTGAAGCAGGATCCAAGACGGGCCAATCCTATGGTTAAGAAACGGCAACAGCTTGGGTGGGCCTGAAAGTTGGGTGGGGCGGGGCCTCAGGGAGTCAGCAGGGCGGGGCTACCAGTGTGAGCTAGGTTGCTGGAGTCCCAGATATGGTGGCTGTCTGCCGCCCCAGGGAATGGCTCACCAAAGTAACAAAGGCCTCTGACAGCACTTTTGTCCCGTAGAAAGCCCCCTCTCTAGCCCTCGCTCCAATGCAAACAGCTCAGTTCTTCCCTGTATGTCTCTGGTGCCCCTTGAGCTGCCTCCCCTCCGAGCTTAGAGGAAGTGAGTCTGATAAGTCCGTACATGGGCCCTTTAAGAGGAGCTGCCTGGGGCTCCAGCCGCCTCAGCCTCCCTGAGCCTCAGTTCCCGCTGGTTTTCCAGCCAGAAGTTATGGGGATTGTCTTCCTGGCACTGCAACCCCGAGCGGGGGCCTGGTGTGGGACTGGGACCCCTCAGTCCTCAGGGAGGACCTTCCCAGCCGAGGTGTCCTCCTGATTTTTATCCGCCACACGTGGGTGTGGGACCAGCCCGTCTGCCTCCAGCCCTCCTACCAGTCTCGATGTGGCTGCTTCTTTTAATTCCGTAGTTGTAGGACTTCCATTCAGCTTGATGTCAGGTGGTTTTGAATGATGGTTGTTCTGTAGTTTAGTTGTAACTTTGATATGGTTGTGGGAGGACGCGATACTCCGTTTACCTACACTGCCATCTTGACCAGAAGTCCTCAAACATTTTTAAACAACTGGTTTGTTTGAATCAAGATTCAGTAAGAGCGCTGGCTGGTTTGGCTCAGCAGTTACAGCATCGGCCTGAGGACCAGTTGCGGGTTTAATTCCAGTCAAGGGCACGTACCTTGGTTGCAGTTCATTCTCCTGCCCCGGTCGGGGTCATGTAGGAGGCAACCAGTCAATGTGTGTCTCTCACATTGATGTTTCTTTCTCTCTCCCTCTCACTCTAAAGATAAATGGAGAAATATCCTCGAGTGAGGATTAAAAAAAAAGTGCCCTGGCCAATTTGGTTTGGCTCAGCAGTCTAGAGAGACCGGGGTTCGGTTCCTGCTAAGGGCACATACCTCGGTTGCAGTTTGTCCCCAGCCCTGGTTGGTCGTGCGGGTGGCAGCCACTTGATGTGTCCCTTTCACGTCGATGTTTCTCTCCCCCTCCCGCTCTATCTGAACAAAAAATGGAAAAATGTCCTCGGGTGAGGATTAAAAAAGAAAAAAATTTCAAGAGCTCACACTGCATTTGAGTGACACTGAGTGTCCTTGTCACTCAGTGTCACTTTCAGTTCAGAGGACTTGGGGTCTATGTCCTAGAACCAGGGAGTCTGATGTGACCCCATAGCACTTACATGAGACCTCTGGTTTCTGCCCCAGGGAAATCTTTGGAGCTCACGGGGTGAACCCAGATGGTGTCTGCAGGTGCCCAGGCAAGTGAATGACTGTTTGAAGCGACCACTGCCAAGGAGAGAGAGCTGAGGGACAGGGACAGTGGGGACAGTTTAGTCTGGCTGGTGCCCAGAGCAGACCTGGCTTCTGAGGGTGAGGGATCGTGTTGCTGGGAAGTCCTCGGCTGCTGCCCTGAGTCTGCGGACACTCTCAAAGCTCCCAGGCGATTTCGAGGGGGCAGTGGTGTGCTGGGGCTGGCATCAGAGGAACCCACGACCTGAGTTTGTGTGTGTGTAGTGTGAGTGCCTAAATAATGTACTATTCAGTAGGGCTTGTTTCCCAGTTCCGACAAACAGCCCCCAACCTGACAGCCTTCTGGAACCTGCTCATTTTACCCAGTTTTCTCCTTTTAAGTTATTCACATTAACAGCAGTTTATTTTTTGTTCCACAATAAATTGTATTTTATTCAGGAAAGCAACAGTTCTCGGTATCTCAGAGTGCAGCCAAGCGTGAAGACACGAAAGACACTTGCGATCCAACCGGCTGGCTCCTGCTGTCAGGACGCTGTGGCTCTCACTGTGACTAGCATTGCTCTGGCATCAGGAAGTTCACAAACAAGTCTGGGGCTGCTTCTGCCACCTCAGCAGGCATTTTGTGGACTAACATTTTATGCTGGTTTCATCTCTATTGTTCATTCATTTGATAAATACAACAGTGATTGTGCCAAGGACACAAAGGGGAACAAGAAACACTCCCTGCCCACAGGGGCTCACAATCTAATAGTGAGGCAGAGAAGTAAACATTCGGCACAATACAAAGTGGCAAGAGTCACCAAAGGTGCAAGGTCGCTGTGGTGTGGGGACTGCAGGACGGTCATCTGACACAGCTTTGGGGTGGCCGAGGTGAGACCTAACATAAGGAGGCCTGAAAGCCAAGCAGGTGTGTCTACATGAAGACCCCCTGGGCTCAAGTCTGACCCTTTATTCAAAACCTCATTCAAGTCCCTCATCTAACTTGTCTTCTCTTGTGAAATTCATTATCGCACGGTCTTCTCCAGTCACAAGTCACTTTGCATGGGTGGCTAATTTCCACATGTACACATCTTACACCAAGCTGTCCCCCCAAGAACTAAGAGTCTTTTAACACTGCACCTATGACTATGCGATAGACAGAGAGGCTACCCAGGGAACCCTGGCTGGGAGACGGATGGCCCTCAAATGAGCGGGCACTTCTCCAGCATGTGGCTGGAGTGAGCAGGATGAGGTGATGGTTGCAGTAGGTGAAAAGGGTCTGGACCCTGGCTGATGCAGCTCAGTTGTTGAGCGTTGTTCTGTGCACCAAAAGGTCGCTGGTTGGATCCCCAGTTTGGGAGTGTGTAGGAGGCAACTGATTGATGTTTCTCTCACATGGACACATGCCCCCCCCCACCTCAAATCAGTAAAAATATTAAAAGAAAAAGAAAAGGGTCTGGGATACACAAAAGATACACAGAAAAAGCATACCTACTAGGTGGCTGCCTGGACCAGAGCACTCAGAATACTTCTTGTTAATGAGAAAGGTCAAACCACAAAACAGTTCTCTCGACAGCACAGATTGTTTGAAGGAAACAATCAAACACGTATTTCATTGCAAACAAAAGCTAGACAGTAACTGCACACTCCCCCACCAAACACCCTCAGAACTAGCGGGCCCTGCAGCCCTTAGCTCAGTCAAACGTGATCCGGAAGCTGCGCTCCTGCTCCTTGCGCCGACCCTCGCACACCTTGGTCACCTCCTCCACCTTCCTCTGGAGCAGGGCGGAGTTCTGGTCGATCCACTGCAGGGAGTCCATGTGCGCGTTGAGGATCTTGCAGATCTGCTGCAGCGGGTCACTGGTATCGGCAGGGCCCCCCGACGTGTTCAGGTGCTCGATGATGTCCTTGAGATCCTGGGCCATGCGCTTCAGCTGTGCGTCAATGTTCTCAGCCAGCTTGTAGGTTTTCTCGCGCTCCTCATCCGCATGCTGCAGGTAGACGGTCCCACTCTGCTCCTTGACAGACTCCTCCAAGGGGCTCAGCAGGTCCTCAAGCTCCTTCTGCTGCGATAGGATGAAGTCAAGCTCTTGGTCCAGCCTCTTCTGGTCCAGCTTCACCTTCTCCACCTCGCGGTGGAGGGCAGTGATCTTCTCCCCGTTCTCGATCAGTGTGCGGTCCCAGGCGTTGACCTGTGTGGCCTGCTGCAGGAAGTGCCGTTCCTGGTCCTCCAGCTCCAGGCTCCACTTGTTGATCAGACTCTCCAGCTGGGCATAGGTCATCACAGGACTGGTGGTGGACACCCCAGTGGCTGCACTGGGGCCGGATGGAGTGGTTATGGCTGTGGGCGCATTGCTGGAGATCCCGGCTGGTGCCAGGGGTTTTAGATTCAAGGCAAAGCTGCTGGTGGTGGTGGTGGCAGCAGCGGTGGATGTAGCTGTGGATGTGGTAGAAGCTGCTCCAGGAACCTTTAAGCTGAAGCCCAGCATTCCAGCCCCAGAAGTTCCAGCTGTGGTTGCTGGGGCACCAAGGGAGAGCCCGGAGGTGGCAGCAGTGGGTGCGGGAACAGATGGCTGTGTGGCTCCTGCTCCAGTGGTTGCTGGTGTGGTGGGAGTGAAGGCCAACCCAGCAAGTGTTGTGGGCTGGGCCGAGCTCCCCATGGAGCCAATACTGAAACTGGAGGTCCCCCCAGTCTGGGGTGTGCTTCCACCTGTGAACGAGAAGCCACTGGGCGTGGTGGATGGAGCAGAAGAGGTGGTGGACGCGCCGAACACAAAGCCAGTGGGTGCGGTACCCTGGCTGGAGGTGACGGTGCTTGAGATGGCATTGGTGAGAGAGCTGCCTCCGAGCCCGAAGCCACTGGGCTGCGCTGTGGCTGGAGTGGCAGCAGCATTGCTCAAGCTTAGCTTTGGCGTGCTGATCCCTAAGGAAAATCCAGTCCCCCCGGCAGCAGGAGTTGTGGTTCCAAAACTGAATCCTGGGGTCTGTGTTGCTGGCGCTTGAGTAGTGAGTGAGAACAGGCTGGTAGAAGGGGTGCTCCCAGTGGGCTGGGAGGGAGTCCCAAAATTAAACCCGCCAGTGCCAGATGTAGAGAAAGAAAACCCAGTAGCAGGGGTGGTTGTTGCTGTCTTTGCAGTGCCAAACGTGAACCCGCCTGTGGGGGCCCCAGTACCTCCAAAATTAAACCCGCTCATGGCTCCAGACTCCGGTGGCAGTAGCTACTCCGGCTCCCAAAGCAAATCCGTCAGCGTCGTCTGCAACCTTGGGAAGATTTTTAAAGCAGAGGAAGTGACATGATCAGATGGCAGTTTTGGAAAGGCAACCTCACTGGCATGAGTGCGGTCTGGAGGGCGGCAGGACTGGATAATCCTAACACGCAGCCACTCTCCTCTTCCTAACCAGCCCTGCTAAATAAACTAGGAAAGAAGGAGCCGGAGCATCAGGCACTAGGAGATAGATGTGCTTGGGCCATGCACAGCCACGTGCAGCACGAGCGGGAGCCCCACTGCCACGGGGGAGGAAGCCGAGAGCAGGTACCTGAACCAACCTCAGCCCAAGGAGGAAGCCAGGTTCCAGGAGCTTCTGGCGAGAGTGGGACTAGAAGCACACCAAACACCTTTAGGACCTGCTCCCCAGGTTTCCCTGCTGACTTCCAGAGGGAAGGGGGTAGAAGATGCCTCCCTTGGGTTGGGGGGTCACCACAACATGAGGAACTGTATTAAAGGGTCATGGCATTAGGAAGGTCGAGAACCACCCATTTAGGAGGACAGAGGGCATGTTGGAATGACCCTTATCCCCCTTCTAAGGGGTGGGCATGAAACCCACGTGCTCGATCAGAGGGCTTAGAGGCGGAGTCCTAGGCCAGTGATTGATTAGATTCAAGGAGAGATGAAGACCTGAGTGGGCCAACCAGAGACCTCCCCCAGTGCTTGAGAGCAGGTGGCCCCCTTCATGCAAGAACAGGGCACACAGGATGTGCACCTGAGGCACCCCACCCCAATCCTCTCAGCCATCCGGAGCAGGAGACAATGAGCCACCACCAGAGAGAGTGATGGGGATTGGGGGTGGGGGGAGGGAAGAGAGAAAAAGGGCCCAGAAGGATTCATGTCCCCACCCGATCTTCACCAGAAGCTTCATGAACCAGCATATCCTTGTTCAGTTTAAACCGACTGGATTTCTGTAATTTCTAACTGAAAAGGCGCTGAGCAGAGCCATCTGTTAGCTGGAAAGTGAAAGGTTACTTGACGAGGAAAGGGTCAGAGGGCGTGAGAGGTGTTTTTGGGAAAATGGTCATACCCTGTGCACCCGTGCATTAAACGATAGCCCTAAGTGCCATCATGAGCATCCTTGTGAAACAGAGCAGAGGAACATCTGACTAGAGGAGAAGAGACCATGTAATGATGCAAGCACAGATGGCAGTGATATACTCTGAACTTGGGGGAAGGGGTCATGAGCCAATTCAGGTGGCCTTTAAAAACTGGAAAAGGCCAGGAAACAGATTCTCCCCTGGAGCCTCCAGAAGGAACCAGCCCTGCTGACACCCTGGTAGCCAGTGAGATGAATTTCGGACTTCTGATGTAAACTGTAAGAGAATCGACGTGCACTGTTTTAAGCCACTAAGTTTGTGATAAACCGCGAGAGCAGTCACAGAACTAACACACTTGGGAAGCAGAAGGTGTCTGACAAAAGTGAGACGTGACCTTGTGACTCCCTAGCGCTCTGATCTCAAACAAGGGACAGCAAACCTCTCTGAGGCTCAGTGCCCTCATCAGGAAAGTGGGGTGGAAGCGACAGCACTGAAGTGCACTAGTTGGGGTGCTGTCACTGCCGCCACGCAGAGGGGCACATGCCCACAATGCCACTTTGGGGAGAGCCTTGGGGAGCTGATGAGGAAGGAGGACTATGCAATAAAGAGTTAACTTGGCAGCAGGGGCTGTGAACACCTTGCTGTGAAAAAATTCTCATGAATTACACATGTGGGTTGTAGCTGACCTCAAGTTTAATATAATTCATGGTCTGGCCCTGGCCGGTTTGGCTCAGCGGTTAGAGCGTCGGCCTGCGGTCCGGAGAGACCCGGGTTAGGTTCCCGCTAAGGGCACGTACTTTGGTTGCAGTTTGTCCCCGGCCCTGGTTGGGTCGTGTGGGTGGAAACCACTCGATGTGTCGCTTTCACGTCGATGTTTCTCTCTCTCCCTCCCACTCTATCTGAACAAAATATCGAAAAATGTCCTCGGGTGAGGATAAAAAATATATATATATATAATTCATGGTCTGGCTGCCACTGCTCACTGGGTCCTCTGGCTGCCTGGGGAGAAGTACTAGTTCCAATGGAGACAGGATTTCCAGGCAGCTAACCCCAGCCTTGACAGCTGTGTGTGCCCAGCTCTGTGCTACTGACATTCCCCTCAGCCGGGCCCTGAGCTAACTTCCCCACTGTCCTACAAGGGATGTTGGGATGATTACCCCAGTGCAAAGAGAGGGGAAGAGAGGCTCAGATCGAAGTAACTTGTCAATTCTCATTCCACAGTAGGTTCTTAGACTCGTTTTTGGACTGCAAACCCCCTTTATTTCCACTCCACCAAATGGGTCCGTCTGTCATAGGGAAGCAGCCCTGCTTTGAGGCATGGACGTTATCCTGTACCCAAGCTTCCATCCAACACCCTCACGTTCTCTTCCCTTTTCTAAAACAGCTGAGGCAGTTCAGCTAAAAACCAGTTCCCTGTTTCAGGCACAAAGTTGGTCTCTAGAAGCAAGTAAACAATCTGGGTTTGAATTCTGCTTCTGCCACTTACTAACTGAGGGTCTCGGGCAAGTTACTCCTGAGCTTCTCTATGCCTCAGTTTCCCTATCTGTAATGAGAACAACCCCCTCCCACTGTGAAGAATAAACAAGGTCCCGACTGAGAAGCCAAGTGCCTGGCTCAGAGAAGCTGTCCACAGGTCCTGCCTTCCTCAGGCCCAGTTTTATTTCTCAAAATGTTCTCAGGGAATCCTCCCTTGACCCAAGTCAGAGCAAACCTACTGTAGCTGCCCCTCCCTAACTTCCACCTCGTCCTCTGCCTTCCTCCAAGAATCCTATTTTTTGCTGAGTCTCTCCTCCACACAGCCACATGCTCCTGGGGAGAAGACCTCAGGGCCACCCACGCTATAGGTGGGTCTGCTCGGTCTAAGCCAGCAGCTCCCAACTGGCTGCCCATTAGCACCTCCTGGGAGCATTCAAAAGGCACAAGGGCCCTGGCCAGGACACTCAGGATTGTCATCCAATACACCAAGGTTGTGGGTTGGATCCTCTGTCAGGGCACATACAAGAATCAACCAATGAATGAATAAATAAGTGGAACAACAAATCAACATCTTCTCTCCCCCCCCTTTCTCTCTCTCTCTAAAAAAAACAAAAAAGGTGCACCGACCGCTGCCAGCTCAATGATGGCTGCCTCTCTAGGGCAGAACCCTGCCTTGGCATTTTTACAAAACTCTTCTGGGAGCTTCTGAGAAAGGCCTCTTTACTCTCAAGAGACCACAGCAAGTGTCTGAGGCCCATGCCCACTGGCACCCTGCCCTGTTCTCTTCATGCATGAGAGAACACACCTGTCACTGCACAGCCACCCATTCGTCTTAATTATTTGGTCCTTAGCTGAGCTTTTGCTATTAATAAGCTGCAGCTAAAATTCTCTGGAAGAACATTTATACAAAGGTCTTTGCTTTTTATACTATTTAAAAACAATCTTCTGTGGGGGCTTGTCGGGTTTAATGGTTCGCCATTTATTAAACGCTTCATCTTTTTCCAACACCCCAATGGTGAACATGTGCTTGAGATACAGCCTTGCTCACGTGCTCCTAAAAGCAGGTACATTTGGGGCAGGTCCACATTACAAACTAGGAGAATGAGGCCAAGAGAAGTTACAAAGCCTTGGCCCCCAGCCTGGCCAGTGGTTAGAGCATTGGTCCTTAGACCGAAGGGTTGTAGGTTCGATTCCCAGTCAAGGGCATGTACCTATGTTGCAGGTTCGATCGCCAGCCCCAGCCGGGGTCATGTGGGAGGCAGCCAATCAATATGTCTCTCTCTCTCTCTCTCTCTCTCTCCCCCCCCCCCTTCCACTCTATCAAAAAATCAATGGAAAGATATCCTCAGGGAGGATTAAAAACAAAAAAACAAAGCCTTGGCTGTTTCCAAGGCTGCCAGAGACATGACAAACACCAGCTTCAACACCAGGAATTCCAAGCAGCGACACACAGGACTGAGTCACATGTGGGAGCAGGGACAAGGCTCTCACCCTGGCCCAGGTTCTGGGAAGCACATACCTGAGTGTTGAAGGATGTGGGATCAACCAGAAGATGGGAAGGAAGGGCTTGGTAAAGGCAGAGAGAGAGGCTGAAACAGGTGTGTTCCTGGGGTGCTCAGTGATTCCGTGTGGCTGGAGGGAGTGTGTGTGCAGTAAAGACAACTTGGCAGGCCTGGGCTGTCCACACCATGGACATTCTCAACAAGGACTTGCCCTTGGTGGGCTCCTGGGAGGGAATCTCTAAGCCCTTGGAGTGTCCTGCCCAAGAGAGTATCTTTAAGGTGGGGCCTTGGGCCACTTGGTATCAGCTTGACCTCTGGGGAGGCTGGAGACTGAATAAAAATTGTGACTGACTTTTGTTTGTTTGTTTGTTTTTCTTATCCTCACCCGAGGACATTTTTCCATTCTTTGTTCAGGTAGAGTGGGAGGGAGAGAGAGGAACAGAGAGAGAGAGAAACATCGACGCGAAAGGAACACATCGAGCGGCTGCTACCCGCACGACCAACCAGGGCCGGGGACAAACTGCAACCGAGGTACGTGCCCTTAGCGGGAACCGAACCCGGGTCTCTCCGGACCACAAGCCGACGCTCTAACCGCTGAGCCAAACCGGCCAGGGTGTGACTGACTTTTAATAAAAACCCTGGATAGCAAGGCTTACCGTGTAGACAACAGTCTGTGTGTGTGGTCACACATCATTGCTGGGAGCATTAAGTGCTGTGTGACTCCACTTGAAAGAGACGATGGGAGCTGGCGCTTGGTCTGTCCTGGACTCTGCCCTGTGTGCCTTTTTCCCTTGGCTCATTTTTTAAATTGATTATTTATTTATTTATTTATTTTTAATTTTATTTTTGTTACAGATGTTTCTCCTTTTTTACCCCATTGACACCCTCCTCTCCATCCCCCCCGCCCCATTCCCAGCTTTGTTGTCCATGTCCATTGGTTATGCATACATGCATATAAGTTCTGTGGTTTATCTCTT